GAGCAATCAATGGCGGTGTCTCCAATTTCCATTTCAACTCCAGGCGTATTGTCTCGTAATGAGGAGTCGCCGGTTGGTAAGCTGCGAGAAGTCGAGTCCACCACAATGTAGGTAGAAGGGGCTCGAGACAGGGGGACGGGAAGAAACGAAGTTGTCACGATGTCTCCTTCGCTTCACCTTGTCGAGGGCGAGACTTGGAGTTTGTGCTTGCTCTCTCTTCGGAGAGTCAGGTACAGAACGGAGTTGTCTCCGGACAAGGAGCAAGAGAAGTGACCAGGTGCCAGGTGAGGAGAGGAAAAGAACAAGGGATGGGTGCTGGCAGCTGGCAGGGTATGTGAAAGTAGAGCCGCCAGGTGCAGGGGTACAGAGGTACGTACTTGAGGTACTTCTGAGGAAGGAAGGCATTCGCAGGTCGATCTCTGGTTAAGAGGAAGGAACACTGAAGGAAGGGTCTTGAGTGCATGCTCCACAGTGCAGAGGGGCCCTCCTTCTCAAATCTCAACCACAGACAATCACTCCACTTTTGATTCCACCCACTCATGGACCTCCAAATGGTCTGTGGGGCCCATCGACAGCGGCTGACAGTGGAGTCGATGGGTTGTCGTTGCAGCCGAGTGCGCCAGGTGCACAGTGCATCGTAAGACGTTAAGGTACCTACCTAGGTTGCTGGCAGGACGGGAAGGGAAGGGAAGGGAAGGGACGCACGTAAATCTGTGCGATCGAGCAGCCGCAGCCGTCGTCAAGGTCATGGATGGACAGCACCGTTGAGGCTATAAGGCCGGGAACGGGGACGCGATGTGGACGGGCGTTACTTACTCTCCCCAGGTAGTAAAGTTCGGAGCACGGAAGTTGCGGGCGCGGGAAAGGTTCGGAATCGAAGGCCTAGGCTGTGATAAGAAAGCGAAAAAGAAGTCAGAGAAGAGTAACGCTTTCCCATTCCATCGTGGAGCTATCAAGGTGCTGAGGTACGCTGCAAAAAGCTTCGGGTGCCCAGGATAGGAAGAAGTACGTACCGGAACTTTAACATCCCGTTCCAACCTAAGTCTCTCTCTGCCTTAAGCCATCTCAGGAAGGCGCAACCTGAGCCGGCACGTAGGTAACTACCTGCCTCACGAATGGAAAAATAGAAGCTGCATGGAACAACTGGAGCGACTGAGATGGAAAGAACGAACATGTTCCCCTCAACAGTAGGGAGTCAGGGAAAGAGAAAATTCTTCCATCTGATTCCTCGTCGCTAAATCACCAATGACACATCAAAGTCACCACCTTCCTCTCTCCATCATCTTCATCGTTACTCTCCCAACAGCTGCACGCCTTGCCTTGCCTTGCCTTGCCTGACAGCAACAACACAACATGCATCGTCGCCTCACCATTTGGCATTGACAAGTCCCTCCCGTCTCCTCAATCCCTCCTGGCAGGTGCATGTCTACGGCGTAGCTAACGTGCTAGCTGCCTGCACCTCGTCCTCTAGCTCAATCATTTGATGGGTCAGGGTCGCCCGTCGGCGCAGGGTCACGTCCGAAAGGCCCGCACATTTCAACTTTCTCTGCACTTCAGCACCACCAGCAATACACTAGATCCTCGCTCTAATTAAAGTCTCTTCCGACCGACAGGCGACACCGACTCCAATACTCCAGCAAAGAGGTCAAAGCTCGCCATTTGTCGTTCGATACATGCCTTCGCGCTTGTTGTCTCACGGAGCCTCGGCTACCATCAATACCACGACGCCGGACCGTACCTGGATCCTAGATACCGTCTAATCCGTACAACAATTCTGCCAATTCCCAAGCCCTATTCCCGACGACGCCTCCAGAGACCCCGACGATCAATCCCATCAGATCCTGTCTGAATCCCGGCACCAACCCCGGCCACCCCGTCCGCCCAGTCCAGAGACAACCAATCCAAGCCGGCCCAGCACGGCGCATTGCAGTGACAACTCGACACGACGCGATGACAACGCAAAAAGAAAGAGAAGGAGACTCAGACGCTGCGGCTACGCCTGCGGCCCCAGAGTCAAGCCGACCCCAAAGAAGTTTCAGGTTCCAATGAGGCAAATCCTGCCCTCGACTCGACCAACGAGACGACATGCCTCTCCAGTCGAGTCTCGACATACCTCCAGAGTACCTACCTAGATCGATGCAGCGCCAGCACCCGCCTGCCTCTGCCTCGCCTTGCTTCACCTTGCCATGGTCCAAGGAGTCAGATCTCGCATTCAGACTCGGCTCCACTACGCCGGCCATGTGTCTCTGCCCAAGGACCGAACCAGTGAACCATTCCTGCAGACCTCAGGCACTTGCGACAGTTTCTCCGGCCGACCCAGCAGTAGCACCTGCACACCGCAGGCGTCTCCGTGGTTGGGGGTTGGTCGGATGGAATGGATCGAGGAGAGAACAGACGCATTGCATCCACCGGCCGATCCCCTTGCCCATTCCCATCTCACGCACTCCCACGGCACGGCATTTGGGACGAGGCGCCGAAGAGACGACAGATCTTCCGGCACCGCCCAACGTGCGCCTGAGCCTGTGACTGGTCGACGACAGTGTCAGTGCCGTCCATCACACACCGTCACCTCCTCGATGGGATGGCAACCATCACCACCCTCCCTCTACACCGCACCAGGCCATCTTCCGTCGACAAGATTCCGCCCCCAAGATCAGGCACCTTGGCTCTAAGCCCGCTGCTGTTGGAACGACCTTTGCTCGCCGCAGTCGAGAGACTCTGGAGACGCTGGGCTCAGAGAGTCAATCGGTTTTCCAAATCAGGCCGCCTGCATATGCACCAGACAGGCCTCAGAAGCGTGACCCTCGCTGCCAAAACCCACCATGATATCATGGTACAGCCAGCCTCTGCTACGCACCACTGTTCCGACACATACGAACAAGTACCGGCCAACATTGACTCGTTTTGTGCCCGAAATGGACCACTCTACATACCGCGATTCCGCGAACCGAATGCTCTTGACTGGGGATTCGACACCTCGGACACCAGCAAAAAAAGAAAATGAGACAAATCAAGACACGGACAACTTCACCTTGACGATCCACGACCCTCAATCTCAACCCTCGTCCGTCGACCTATTTTTTTTTCTCTCCGAGTTCCGCTCACTGTCTCTACCTCCCCTCTTTCCCCCACACTTTCTTGACACGACGCGACACGATACGATGCAACCTCCTTGTCTTACTGTCGACATTGTCCGCTTCGCCAACTTTGGTCACGTCGTCCGTCAGTCAATGGTCCAAGAGACGCCGTAATCCCGAAGCATCCCTGGGCGATGGCGCGACAGCCTCATCGTGGCCCTGGTCTTCCCTATACATATGGCCCATGAGTCGTGATTCAGGGTCGGCCATGGCCCATCTCTGCATCTCATCATCATTGCTGAACAGGGTTCCTTTCGACGTGCACGCATCCCATCGAGCGCATTGTAGGTACTCCATACTTCATCAGAGTCTCCAACACGAACCAAGCACTCACTGCACCGTTCGCTACCTCCACCCTCACCTTGGATTCTCCCACGACAGTGGAGTCTCCGCGCTGCAACACTCTTTCGAGCATGACTTGATTGGGGGGTGCGCACAGTCCATTTTCTGGCTAAGACGACCCTTGTCAATAGCAGAAGAAATTCTACGACAACGAATCACAACGTCTCGAGGCATCGTGGGGATGTGATGTGCGGGTAGCGACCTTGAGTACATGACGGTACCTCTCTGTCGCTGGCAGGGGGGTCCGGCCACACGACGCTAGCAACGACCAGGGCTGATGGACGGCGAGGGTCGGCGAGGAAGTACAGACTGGAGACCGGAGGGACACTAGAGAGGAGTTGACAGGACTGCGGGCTGTACGGCGCAGGAGCAAACAGGACGACGACGAGAGGCATCCATCGTCTCTCCTTCGCTCGCTCGCTCATTCACACTCGCTCGACTCGACTCGTCGACAGAAGAAGCATCATGTACCGCACCACACTGCACCACAAGTGGAGAGATGTCGCCAAGCAGGCCCCAGAATTCCACACATGCCATCCACCGTCGACGACAGCCAAGCTGACAGCAATTCCGCCGTGCTTTCGCTCCCTTTTTCATTATACGATACTTACCGGGCTGGTGTTCTCTTTTTATTAGCATCATCTGCCTCACGGCACCGACGGCACCGCAGCACCTGGCCGGCCTGGGGGCGGAGGAGCAGACGGGGTGCTCTGCTCTTGGCACTGCCGGTACGACGTGAGACCTCACCTCACATCCCACACCGTTCTTATCCGCCCATGTCCATCCATCGTATGGGAAACAATACTCCCCTCCAACTCGTCCGTCGTGCACACCTTGCATGTGGGGAGCTAAGGTGCTAGGGGACCTTTAGTGCGTGTGGGAGAAACATCGATTCTCTGCACGTCGTCCTCGCTCCTCCAGACAGACCCTGTCGCTGTCCCGACTTCCCACCCACTAGCAGCGCACCTATCTGCAGATATATGTGCATATCCCGCCCCTCGAAAGCGGCTGGCCCATGTCCTGTCGTCCAACGACGTGCGACCCTCATCTTCCTTCCCACTTCCTCTCGACGGCAAGCTGGTTTCCAAATAAGACCCAGCGATCATCTCTCCACCCACTTCAGCCCCTCCATTCCACGCCGGCTCCTCAGCGATCAGCCTTTTCCTTCTTCATGAGCCGTCCGTCACGGTTTTGATCTTCGACAAATTCACCTTCGTCGAATCCGAGTCTCGTCCGTCGTCGACTGTGAGACCGCCTGCCGTCGCCTGCCTCTCCACCTCGCCTCCTAGGACATCCTATGGCATTTGGTCTTGATATCTGATCGACCACCCAGTCTCGACTACCCGCCACCGCCTTGCTTGCCTCGACCCGTTGGCAACTGGCATAACAGCACGCGTATTGGCACTTTCCGTGTTGGCATGGTCTCGTTATTGACGAGCCATGGAATCTATTCTGTCTGCCGTTTCGGATGAGGGTGATATCTCTTGGTCGGACAACCACAGCAACTCTTCAGACGACAACATGACCGACAACATGCTCCTCCCACACTCGCCTACCTCCCAAGCGGCTGCTTGGATGAACACCACCACTACCAACTCCCATACCGGCCAGCTCTCTCCCGTCAGTACTGGCATGGACATCGCGACCATGGATCACTCCTGCGCCCCAACAATGGTACACTCCGCCTCCTCGACCTGCACTGATTCCTGGAGCACCGCCCACGCCGACGCCTTCGACGGAGACGATGCTGACAACGATATTGTATGGGAACAGGGCTCTGACGACATCCTCACTCTACCCAAACTCGAACCATTAGACGACGACTTTAAGCTGGACGATGTGAAGGAGGCGCCTCTCGACGCAGCCGAGGCAGGTCTGATTTCACCCTCCAGCACCCAACCGAAACAGAAGCGACCCCGTGGCAGACCTCGCAAGCACCCGCTGGGGCCTGTTGTGAACCCGAGCAAGGTGACCAAAGGACGATCCAAGACCGGGTGCATTACCTGCCGCAGAAGGAAGAAGAAGTGCGACGAAGCAAAGCCGAGATGTAAGCAGCCCGAGCAATGTGTCGTAGGAAAATCTAACGTTCTGTCAGGTATGAACTGTGAGAAGAATGCCGTCGTTTGCGAAGGATATCACGAGAAGAAGCTTTGGAGAAGCGGCAAGGAGAAAGCCTGCGATGGTGAGTGTGCTCTTGACTACCGTTCCTGCTTATCATGTCTAACAGCGTTGCAGATCGCACTGGAGAAGACTCGGTCGTCTTCACTATGCAGCCCTTGTTCAACGGTGTTGACACCGTTGAGGACAAGTTATTTTGGAGACACTACGGCGTCCACCTCAGCAACGTCCTGACCGTTGAGGGAGAGGCCAAGAACGCCTTCAAGGACATTATTCTCCCTTTGGCGAATCTCCACCAAGGTGTGATGCACTCAATTCTGGCCATGAGCAGCAAGCACATCGACTTTGACACCCCGTATGGTGCCAAATTACTTCAACAGAACCCAACAACTAGCCGGGAAGCGCTGCAGGAGAGATCTGATTATCATCACAAGGCAGCAATGGAGTCGTTCTACGCCGACATTCGCCGTTCTGCAGAAGAAGACGCCGATGGGCAGACGATCTCATCCGCTCGTTTCGCTCAGATGCTCTGTCTTCTCATCACAACGCTCATTGAAGGCAACCCTCATGGAGAACACAGGGTCCACCTTCGAGGCTACAAGGAGCTCATTCAACAGACTCCTCCTGAAGACACCGTCTTCTTGAGCTTCATTCAGGAGTTCTTCCAGTATCACATTTATGCCGACGAGCTGCTGTGGCATCCTTCCATGGACGGCCCTCGTCTTGCTTCCGAGGACTGGAGCCCCCTAGTTCCCATCGAGTCACCTCGCCTTTTGGGCGTTGCCGATGGCCTCTTCCAGTACCTTTGCCACATTACCACAATCAGGAACACCATCCGCGAGAACGTCTACCGAGGATCTGAGACGGTTGTGAACTATCACATCCTATACCGGGCCCAGGAAATCCAGGAGGCAATCGAAAAGTGGATGCCCATGTGGCCGCCAGGCGACAGCAGACACCGGGTTGGACACGTCTACAAGCACATGATGTTTTTGCACCTATTCCGTACCATCTATCCTCCGACCGTGTCCGAGAGGCGCCCATCGGTGTATTCAGTGGCGACTTCAATCGCTACTTCCATCTCATCCTCTTCTTCTCGTCGCCACTCCCAGATTTCTCGCCCGTCTACGGCTACTAGCTGTGCGTCTTCGCCTGGTCTCCGACCATCCACTGCTGCCGGATTCCCGATGAGCATGCAGCTTAAGCGGGACCCCAACTCTCGCGGCCCGTCCAGGACAAGTTCGATGCACGAATCGGACGCTGGTTCCTGTGCCGTCATCGACGAGCAGCGTCCTGCGTCTCCCCCGCCGATCCGCCGCCCTCCTCAGCATGACAACCGCATCACATCCGCGGTTGACGAGTCGTTGGCCATCATGGAGGGCTTCAAGCCCTCCGACCCCGCGTTGACGCTACTGCTGATGCCGTGTCTGGTCATTGGAGCGACCTGCTTTGATCCGTCTCAGCAGGAGAGGGTCCGCACCGTGGTCCGATCCATTCGAGGCTACACTGGACTTCGCAACTGCGATCGGGTTCTTGAAGTCCTCGAGGAGCTCTGGCGCCTCATGGACTACGGCGACTGGCTTTCCGTCTGGGACTGGCAAAGCGTTGCAAGAAACCAGGGTCTGGACTTCTTGTGCACCTGAGCACCTTCTCTAGTGCCTTGAGCGATGGACCGCAACTGCTCTCATATGAGCCAACACCCTCACCTCGACTCCCAGCCCACCATCTCTCGCTCATCTTTGGGTATTTACCCTGCTCGTATTGTTTTCCGCCGGTATATCCGTGCTGTATTCTCTCGCTATTTTCCAACATTTCGTACCATTTATCTGGGCTGGCATTTGTGTAGTTGGCGTTGTCGGATGAGGCATGTAACGGACACGACATCATGTATTGGAGGCCGCATGCATCGCAATTTCATACAGCGGATGGCAGCCGAGGGTGAAGGCACCCGGCGCCAAGAAGATCTGGTTTCCATGGTCGGGACTCGTGGCCAGCATTGGGTTCGGTACACTCTTGCGCAGGCGGGCTTGTTTTACTCGGACAGAATGTCTCTTCACTCGTCGGCGTTTCTTGCTTTTACTTGGGAGGTTGTCTCTTTTCCACCACAGTCGGGTTCTCACAGTCGGCGTGTCATTTCAGTTTTTTGTTTGGGTAATCGGGACACAGGCAGGGGATCACGGAATCGATCTCTGGATGGGCGGCTCGGACAGTGTCCGAATCTGATTTTTGTTTGCATACGATATAGGCATTCTTGGGAGGAGGACTTGACAGAGAGAGCATTGCGTCGAGGCAGGCCATGCGCCGCCCGCGATGCGAGCAACAATACACAAGCAGGGGCGCATTTGCGCCCATTCTCCCAAATTTTTCTGGCCCCCCCGGTTCGCTAATTGCCCGCCCTATGATTGTCCCCTGATTACATGCACGTGGTTCGCGTGTTTGCTTGTCAATGGGTCATATGCAGATGACCGACTCATTGATGATGCATTCAACTCGCAGCGTCCCGTCTCAGGTGGCCGCGGTCTTGTGCCGCACAAGGGGGACGGGAGGGAATTGGATTTCCGTGATTCGAACCCGGGCGCATCGCATTGTGACCGTTCGACGAGCCTCAATCGGGCCGGTTAGGCCGTCTTTTGCATGGGCCCGAACTCGTGAGCCTGTTTTTTTTGTTGGACGGTTCGTTGGTTGCTTCACCATGTGCTGTCCGCGGGAAAACTGATAGCCACGACACGACACGATACGCGACCATTTTTCCGGTTTCTCGAGTGCGCCGCCTGTGTTGTGAATTAATTATGATATGTTTATGTGATTGCTGCGCCCCCCTTCCGGCATGGAGTTTCCCATCTCCTAAAAGCGACAGCACAGTGACTCTCTCCTTTACTCTGCATCTTACATCTGCGGGATTGGATTACGATCTCTCTCTCTCTCTGTTTTTTAGGGCCCGTAGGAGGACGAGGGGGACGTGGAGAATGGGGGACCAAGTCAGTCGAAAGCCCTTGAGTTCCATGTTCCATTATTATCTGTAGCAGCCATGTAGATACTCCGTACCGAGTGTACCCGTAATCGACTACCGCTGCTGTGCAATTGTTTGCTTCCTTTTGGTGGATTTCCATAGCGGATATGGGGGTGGTCTCGGAAGGAGATGGGGATGAGATTCTGCGGGTGGATGGGGTCGTCTCCCGAATCAATGTCTTGCTTTACTTTGCTTGCACTTGCACTTGCAGACGAAGTATTCCGCAGATGGGGTTTCTTTCGTCGTTTCTTTTTCTACACTACGGGGTAAGTTGGGAACGATTGCTCGCTTGCTTCTCTCTCTTCCTACCCTTTTTATCCATCTTTATTACGCGCGCAGGGTCGGGACTTGGCGACTGGCCCCCAATCTACATTATCCAATCTGGCCGACCCGGGGCCCTTGTTAGCTTTAATCAAGTGCAAGATTATCAACCGAGGGTGGTTATGGGGCCGATGGAGGACGAGAATAACCCCGGGGGTTTGAAGGGCCACTCACTGTACGGATATCCGTAGGTAGGTAGAGCGGATTCGGCGGAGTGGACTCCGCTGTCGCCGTGCGCGTTGACCAAGTTTGGGGGGTGAGGGAGAGAAGAGCCCGCTGAAGAATCGGAGGCGGGTGCGCGGGATGCGGGATGCGGGATGGGTAGTGACGGTTCAATTCAATTCAGTTCGGGTTGAAGATTGGAGTTTTTCTGAAGTTTCGATGGCGTGAGGCTTGTTTTGCGTCTTGATGGGATGGTCGTTCTGGACCTTTTTTTGATGCCGATGTTTCGGGAGCGTTGGTGGGATCTTCCTTACGGGTGCTTTCTTGGAAGGTTATTGTTCAGCAACATGTGGTACGTGTGTCCTCCCACTCCCTCCTCGTACCCGCGATATACAGGAGGACGTGCTGAAGGAGGATTTCGAGACGGGGGAGGGGGGCAGCGGCTTAGCTGGGCAGGGATCGGGAATCTACGCTATCTTGATCTGTCCAAGTATGCGAGATGGGTGGATGGGTGGGGGGTGGGCGGCTGTGTGAGGCGGAGGGCGAGTTATTCCAAGAAACCAAGGTTTGGGACGGTACCGTATGAGACAGTAGTAGCAGCGGTTATTCCTTCTTTTCTTGTGTATGTTTCTCACGATCGGACTGTGTTTATCACCTTGGGTTTGTTGATTTGTCTACCCGAGATTTGTCACGGTAGCCGAATGAATCGCCGCCGGTTGGGGTTACATATGAAAAAAATTCTGGATTTCTTTTTGCAGATACGATCGGATCGTACATGGGGGGCCCGAGGATGTAACCCGGCCCCCCTCGTCTAAGCATCTATTTTACAACAATTTGCGGTTCCTATCGAGGAGGAGCAGGTTTTGGGGTTTCTTTTACATGCGTTGATGCGGAGGCTGGTTGGGGAGGGTGGATGGGACCCGTTCAGATGTTCCCGTCTTATCGATCCTTCAGAAGCCATCGATGTCGAGCTTTCTCGGAGTTTTGTCCGATATCAGGAATATGCCCTGGGCGTGGATGGCAGGTTGGTGAGAAATCCCCAGCAGACCCGGCCTCAATGGCACTCCCCTCCATTCTGCAGTGATCCCGTCATCGTCCCCATCATACAACTCCCGCCGCCTCAGACGTACATGCCGCGGTCCTCGCCCTCGACGAGCTTGACCACGACGCCGTCCTTGTCGCGCTTGATCTCGTACTTGCCGCCGAGGACGAGGTCCTTGGCGACGAGCTCGCGGGTGCGGCCGAGGGACTCGATGTCGCCGATGCGGATGACGGTCTTTTGCAGGTGGTCGCGGAAGCCCTCCTCGGCGCAGATCTCCTGGAAGGCGTGGTGCATGGGGACGGAGGAGGCGCGGACCTGGGCGTCGGCGGCGATGGAGAAGAGATTGAGGCGGTCCATGTCGCGGACGAAGTCGGAGCGCGTCATGATCTGCTGGGCCTTGTGCATCGGGAAGGACGGGAGGAGGTGGCCGCGCTCGCGGTCGTACGTCTTGTCCATGTCCTCCTCCTTGTCGACGAGGGCCTGGGCGAGGGTCATTGCGCCGGCCTGGTGGTGAGTGTTAGCTGACGAGAGGAAGATGTGTGGAAGACGGATGACTTACAGCCCACTTCTGCTGGTCCATGACGTCGTCGTCCATCTCGGCGCCGAGGATCCAGCACTGGTTGAGGAACCACGTCTTCTCGACCAGGCAGATCTGGTCGCACGTAGCGATCATGTCTTTGCTCTTGGCAACCCGGTTGAGGAACGACAGCCGGCCGCCGACGAGGTCGTACACCTCCTCCAGCTTGTCCTGGCTCAGACGCTCGTTGAAGTACTTCATGCGGTACTTCCACAGGGCGGCGATGGCCTGGCGCTTGGTCAGGTCGCGCACCGACATGACCTCCATGCGGGTGGCGAGCTGCTTCAGGCGCTCGTAGACCCAGTAGTCGTCGGTGTTGAAGACCATGGTGACGAGGTTGGCGGCGGCCCACTGCTCGGCGCGCTGCTGGAGGAGCTCGATGAGGTCCTTGCCGTCCTCGTCGTCGCGGATGAGGTGCATCTGGTTGATGATGACGACGAGGGGCTTCTTGCGCTCCTTGCGGTTGACGAGGGCGACCTTTTCGAGCTTGTTGAGGGCGCGCTCGATGTCGAGGAGGGCGGTGGTGTCGCGGGGCCCGCGCTCGGAGAAGTAGCCGCCGATGTAGTCCTCGTGGAACTCGAAGTCGAGGGCCTTGCCGAGGCGGATGCGGACGATCTCGAGGTCGGCGTGGGCCTCGAACATGGCGACGCCGTCGCCGTCGATCTTGCGCATGGCCTCGATAAGCATGGAGGACTTGCCGGTGCCCTTCTCGCCGAGGATGAGGAAGTAGTGCCCGACCTCGGAGCCGTTGACGATCTTGTCGATGCGGGCCTGCTCGGGCCGCTGGACCCAGCGGTCGTCGGCCTCGGCGGGGGTCTGGGGGACCTCCTTGCCGATGGCGGCGAGCTCGAGGACGGGGTCGCCGGGGGTGAAGGCGCGGGTCATCTTGTTGAGAACGATGCGCTTGTAGGTCTTGTGGTAGGCGTATCCTGCTACGGCGAAGCCGGCGGCGAGGACGAGTATCGAGGCGAAGGACGTCGCGGCGGACTCGAGCATCTTTCTGGGGAGGGAGTCACCGCCGCCATCTTGGGACTTTGATGTGTTGTCTTTTGTGGTTTGTCGTGTGTCTTGTTTGGATGTGTTTTGTGTATCTGAGGAGGTCAGTTGTGATCGTGATACGATGCGTTTATGAGCGTCCACTGCAAGGACTCGCGGTCGCTTGGCAGCCAGCTACGATCATCATGAAGCCCATCGAGAATGATGGTTCCATCGGTGGTAATGGACAACCGTTACATGTACTGGGCGGCGATAATGCCTCACTTGAGGTCGTGTATATGTTCGACCGGCGGGGCACATCTCACGATAGCCTCACTTGAAGTTGAACAGGCGCATGAGATGAGAACAGGAGTCGCGACATATCTCGGCGCCCAGCCTCTCATGCGCGAGCCTGGCAGCAAGGCCATAAGCAGCAAAGTGAGAAGTGAGCACGGCATCACAGCCTGATCTGATGCGCGCATCACAGGCGGCGTGATCTGACATGCACATCTTGGCCTGCAGCTCAAGACGCCAACCGAGAGAACATCCCTGCTCCCTCGAAACCAGAGACAACAAAAGGTCCAAGGTTGCCCGCCAGATATTGACATCAAGTCGGGTTCATCCCACCAGTTCATCACACCAGTACATGATAGTCGCGCGAAACATGAAACATTGCGCGCCAATCAAACAGACGAGAGAAAAGAACATACGCGCACCAACGTACCGGTCCTTCGTGGCGGATATGTGGAGAAGCACCTCGCGGTGGTGCAGGTGGTGCTGACGGAAGATGAGATTCGCGACGCTGCCGACGCCGATGCTGATGCGGATGCCGTGCTTGCCGGAATCCTCGTTGCTGACAGCAGCCCCCAAGAGGCGCGCCCACGCGTCCCGGTCCACTGGCACCGGGCCCGAGAGGGTCGCAGCAGCGTGGCGCGAACTGCACCCTTGCTCACCGAAGCCATGGTAGAGATCTGACGAGCATGCAGGGCCAGCTGCGGCTCGGATTAGAAGGGTAGGTTGTTGATGGATGTCGAGTGAGTGTTTTGGGGTGGAAGGAAGTGCGCGAAATGGGACAGCAGAGGAAGAGGGAGATTTTGATTGTTTGGGTATGGATCAAAGCGACCACCTAAACCGGGCGGACGTCACTTTGTCAAGCCACAACCCGACCTGAGTGAACACCGTGACACTCTGGGAGGGAGCCGTCTATTTGCGCAATTTGGCCGGTTGGATTGTCCTTTTTCCTTGGCATCACCCTTGCTCTGCTGAATTCTGCCAGCAATTGAGTTGTGGCGCACGCAGAATGCCAAGAACCAATTGAAGGGCGGTGAAGGCGAAAGGGAGGTGGCTAATTTCTGATTGGTGCCACGGTTCCACCCCTGGTTCCGGATTCAGGTGTCCTGTGGAGCCGTCACTGCGACAACCTCACCAAAGGCAGCAACGACGCTGATGACATAACTCACGATGGCTTCAATTTGGGGCTCTGGGCTGGTCCGTAAAGAGTGGCACTCCTAAGGTAGGAGTACTATTTTATGGCAAGTTGACATAACCAGTACCGTCGAATGATTCTCTTCGTCAAAGCCGACGTGGTGGAGTTTGTTTTGTTTGTCTTGGGACCGCCCTTTGTCATTGATTCAAGTGTGTTCGAGGAATTCGAACAATTTTCTTCTTGAATTTCTGTCCGTATTTCCAGCTGCCTAAAATCTCATTGATCCCTTCTTTGCTAGAAGCCTACAGCAAGATATTCTGCCGACATATTACCGGCGTACTTACCTCCTCCGAATATTTCATGTCGAATGGTCTTGAACACCTATCAAGGGAACTAGGCAAGCTATCGACGATATTGCAGCATACTAAATATCATTCACTTGCTAATATCTAGGTCGATGCAGCTTACGTATACCATGGAAGCATGTCGCGATTCGTTTATGCCTTCCGAAGCTCTTGCCTTAGTACATACGACCACCTCAGCTTCATGAAGTACCTATCTATGAGACGAGCCTCGGCGCGTCAGATCGATAGAAGTCCTATCGGGTGCCTACATACTTCAAATACCAACCGCATGGCCTTGGAAAGGCTGGCTAACCTCAGCCCTGGCTCACGTGCCTTGGTCGTCAACTTCACTTGCTGGTTGATAAAGTACCAATCAATAGCCTCCGTTTTAGGGCTGAGGGCAGCCCTTTGCAAGAAGATGGGAGGGCTCTTGAGGTGCTTTCAACCCAAGTGGGTCTCCGCCAGCCTAGAAGTATACCCAGATGACGAGTTCGTCTTTACGATGAGATGGCAGCAGTGTTGTCATCCAAACGATATCAAGATGGCTCGTCGCATGTGCCCACGCACTCGAACCCACAAAATGTTTGTATTGACCAGTAATTAAAGTGCATTGAAACGCAATTCCAGTTTTCCGGTCCTTAAACGCGTTGTTGAGGGTGTAAATCGAAGTCGATGTCCATGGCAGCATGTTGTGCCAGCTTCAACACCATGATCCATCCTCACCGAGCATCACCAGTACACTGGCCCGTGCGCCCAGCCGGTCGACGTGCCTTCCCAACCTTTCTGTCAGGCAGACTTTTTGTTTACTTCGAATTCTTTTTCTGATTTTGTGCGCGCAATATTCTTCCACTCGCTATCGACAACAATTATTTTCTTCTCCAAGCTGTCGGTCTTGAAGTTGCTCTTATCCAGCTTTGTCTCGCTCACTCGGATGTTTTCTTGCGCCTGAACCCATCGTCAAGTCTGCAGGGTTTTTGTCGTATGACGATTTTTGCTGAATTCAGTAAGTTCTCAGTCGTTAATTTCATCTCATACCCGTACTAACCATCTCCAGACCACTGAGAAGACTTGCCAACACTTCCATCCCGTCTCCCCGGATCGGATTTCATCTCACTCGGATCCTCGCTTCCTCCCGAGGCCCGCTACCAGATGCTCTTCTTCCGCTTGTTCACACTCACTCGACGATTCCTGCAACAATGGCACCAAAGACTCCTGCTTCTCCTCTGGACGATCGACGTCACGATGGTTCGCACCTCGATCGTAATCTACAAGATGCTCTTTACCCTCTGGCCAGCGGGCCCTGTGTCCGGTCCCCGGAATCCAATACGATACTTCGACCTCCACCTCCACCAAGATTTCTACGACGAGACCGGCCCCGCCCCCCTCCCATTACCATCCCGGCCCCTCAGGTTACCGAGGACGAAGAAGAATCGCTGGTGACCGCCGTGCCTCCGACACCCCCTCCGACTCCCTCTCCTGGACTTCCCACTCCCCTGCTTGCAGGATGCCCAGGCCGTGAGATCTCCGGCGCCAAGTCTGACGGCAGAGAGTGGGCCTATGACTGGGACTCTCCTCCGGTCTTGCTCTATCCCGACGACCTCTCCAAGACAGAGTTCCACGAGCACCCCTTGGCACGTCACATCGAGCTGGAGAAGGGCTGGGAGAAGCATCAACTCGCCATGTATGGCCTCATCCTCCCCGCCAAGGTTGACAACGGCACCCCGACTTACACATGGGAGTCCGACGACGAGGAAGAGGAAGATCTCACCAAGGCGGTGATACTGGCTACGCCCGCCAAGATGCCTCATTACCCGAAGCTTCCCCCGGCACCCGATACCCCCGTCGACCGCCCTCGCACCCCTTCGAACATTCTCAAAAAGGTCAAGACCTTTGCCAACTTTGTCGCCAACAATGATATGGAGAAGGACACCCCCGAGCTCCCCAGCCTCAAAGAGCTTATCGACCAGTTCGGCATGCCTCCCGGAACCCCGACCGAGCCCGTCCCCAGAAGCTTCCTTCGACCGACTAGATCCAGCGGCTCTCTCCGACCCAAGACTCCCATCAGGTCCGTTCCCAGCGCGACCAAGCTGCGCAACAAGAGGAGCGCCACTGGCATCTCCAAGTTGCAGATCTCCGAGCCCGTTGCGCCCGAGGAGATGAGACGCATCGGCCAGGACTTCAGCGAGGCCGCGTCCCGCACCGCTCGCAGCCGAACCAGGACCGCGTCTGAAAGCGAGCGCATCTCATCTTATGCCACCTCGCTCCGCAGCCCGTCCAACCTCATCTCGCCGTCCATCTCCTCAAACCTGCCGCTGTACCTGCTCCAGCCCCAGCATCCGACCGTCTACTTCGGCACCAACGAGCCTCCTCCCAAGTTCCGCCTCGCGCGCCCGCGCCTCGCACCCATGGAGTACGCCCGCCAGTATCTCCTCGCCAAGGCCAAGGCCGAGAAGCAGGGAGAAGAGTGCACTGTCCAGAAGCCGGAACTGACGTGGTACTGGTCGGAGAACTACAAAGAATTCTTCCTCCTCCCCTCCCTCCCCAAGGGTGTCACCAGAAACTTCCTTCCAGATGTGGAAGAAACCGATCCGGCATGGAAGAAAAAGAAGAAACCGGTTGCAGCTACCAGAGACTTGGATGAGGAGGCTGCAAAGAGACGTTCGTTCATACCGCTTCCTTTGAACCTCGCCCCTTCATCACCCCTTCTGCCAGCCCATCTTCGCAACAGCTCACATTCTTCTGTCATCAGCTCGACTCACAAGCGCGACTCCTCCCTCAATGACTTCAAGCTCGACCAGCCTAGAGCAGTGCCAGCAGATCAAACATTGTTGCAGTCCACCAAGGCTCTTGTCGCTGACCCAACTGCTTCTATCCCTCGCGAGAACACTGATTTCTTTGTTGCCGTTCACACAAGCAGCGAGAGTGAGTTCACAAGTTCATTTCCGCCTCAGTTTCTTTCTTCTTCTTCTTTGGGCAGCAACAGAACCAGAAGAGAGTCCACACAGCAGTACTCACCTCTTGTTGCATCTGAACGAGCTTCAAGTGCATCGCCTCTCACTAGAGCCTTCACAGCTACTCTTGCTGAATCACAGACTGGTCCTGAACAGCTTACCTTCAACTCAGCTGACTTGAGCAATGTTCCCCCTGACTTCCCATTTGCCCGGCCGCCATCGGTCGCTTCGTCACAGAGAACAGTCACACCAGCCCTCTTCACATCTCAGCAGACTCAAGCTGTGCCTCCTGCCTCTCCTGACCAGGTCTCTCTCGACGACGACGCGCACAGCGAAGTCACAGCAGTCTACCGCCCAGGATCTGCACTCTCCTCTTGTACTGTCATCAGACCCTGCTCACCTGCTCCCGCTGCTGCTACTGACCTGGATGAGAATGGTGTCTCGCCAAACAGCATCGACTATGAGGACTCCAACCTGCCTCCCGCGCCGGTTTCCCCACTCAGCAGTTCTCCATCATCTCCGCAGACGGATGCTTTTGCAACACTGCAGAACACTCGGACTCACGATAGATGGGATGACGCTCAGACCCGGCAGCAACAGCAGCCTTGTGACGAGACAGTCGTGCAAAGTATCGCAGACGACGCAGGTGGTATGGACTTTGCAGACACCTCATCTGTTTACTCACAGGACAGCGTTCTTACAGCCATTCATCGCCCTGCCGCCAGTCGCCATAACACACCTCTTGACTTCATGCCACTGACGCGGAGTGTTGATGAGAGAGAAGAGGACTTGACCCCGCGACAGCTGCGTGAACCTTCTTCTGCCGAGGCTCAAACGCAGGCGAGAACTCTACATCACTCATCAATTCTACAGCCTGTGTCATACATTCCCAACACCCAAGTTGCCCAGACTTACACCGCCAACGAGGCATCACAGATCTCACAGAATACTCGTCGCTCTCAGGCTTCTATACTTACCTCTGGCAGCAGCAATCGCAGTCGTCGCATGCCCGCTCAGGATGCTCGCTCTTCCAGAACCTACGACCCTTACATGGAAGCCAACACCCGTGGTGCTCGCAACGTGGAGAGACAGCAGGTTGGCAGCGCTTCCGTCACCAACTCTGATGCCCGCCGTTTCGAGGAGATGCAGGCTCGGATCAAGCCTCGGAGCACCCACGAGACGGCTTCAATTGCTTCGGTAGCCTCATCGTCTACCTCCCAACATGACCGCTTCTCTACAATCTCCGACGCGCCCTCCATCACATCTTCTTCCACCATCGAGTCACGCCGCTCTCAGGCTCTCTCCTTCACCTCGATAGCCTCGTCAGATCGCTCAACAACCAGCAAACCCCGCCGCTCTCGCGCTGACAACCCTCAAGATGCGGTTCCCGTTCCTTCCCTCCCTCGCGACCCCCGCTTCACAGCCCTCAATCCCGTCCTGGAATCCCCCATCCCCTCAACGGGCCTCAGATCCTCAGCAACTTCCCCCGTCGTCAGCTCCTCCACCCGCGCGCGCAAGTCTACAATCCCCAACAGACGAGATTCCTCCACCCAGCAATCCACCGCCGCCGACGCAGAACTCCCATCCCTCAAAGTCCGCAGACGCAGAGAAGTCGCAGACCTAGCCCAGATCCCCGCCTCGCAAGCGTACCCTCAACCCCTCCGCTTCAACGCGATGAAGAGCCCCCCGCCAACCGGCACCACCACCACCATCGTCCGCTCCACCTCCAGGCTCATCACGGACATCGGCAACGAGCTCAACCGCGAGATGGAGGACGTCCTCTCCCCGCGCTCCGCCTCGCTCGTGCCGCCGCCGCCGCAGGACGACTCCCCCGACGACAACGCCCGCGACGTCGAGACGCCCACCCGCCGCCCGCCTCCCCGCAAGGTCCGCTCGAGCAGATCCATGCGCTTCGAGGCCCCCAGCATGCCGGCGCCCAACAAGCCGCTGCCCTCGCTGCCGCCGCAGAAGATCCGGCGCTCCGAGGCCCCCGGTCCCGTGGCGTCTTCTACGTTTGTCGACGTCGACTTCGGTCCCGGACCGGCGATTGCTCACTCTCAGCCGCCCGCGCGCGTCTCATCGGTTCCCCGGCCTCCTATTCCAACGACGATCCCGGTCATCGCGCCTCCCGTCCCGCCGTCGCCTTCCACGGGCTCGGAGTTCGTCACGCGCGCCGACTTCAGCGTCAAGAAGGACCGGACTGTGCGGCCTGCGGCCTCTGTCGCGGCGTTCCCGTCGTACCGTCCGAGTAAGTATTCTTTTATTATTCACCAGCTGTTTACACCGGAAACGAAGAGAAGTGCTAACGACAACCAGCAGCGCCTACGATTGAGCCTCCGCGCCAGGTCCGTCGTCTGGAGTCCGCGGCGAACCTGCAGTCGCCTCGCTCCCCCGTCCCGCCGATGCCTCCGCTGCCGCAGCAGCAGCAAGCGCCTGCCTCGGCGCGGACCCGCCTCCTGGGCAAGATGGCCTCCATGGCCGAGCTCAAGCACAGGAAGGAGGCCGGGTCCCGCGGCAGCGGCGGGAGCGGCGAGGAAGGCGCCGTGGGCATGAGGACTTTCCTCGGGGAGGACGTCTCTGGCGAGTCTTCTCGGTCTGGTAGCAGCGGTGGGTTGGCGCCGCCTCCCTCGAAGGAGGGAAGCAAGAAGAAGTTCTTTGGTGGTTTATTCCGGAGGAAGAAGGACGGGGAGAAGTGAGGGGGGACGATGGACGAAAGTACAGAAGGAAGGATATGGTTCTTGGTGTTTGGAGTACGGTTTTGTTGTTTGATATAATGATGTTACGATAGTAAAACTTGTGGATACATTGAGGTGCCTTCCCATCGTGAGATGCCGTGATGATGAATATTGATGTTACGATAATGAAAGCCTTGTGGATGTATGAATTTTCCACTGTGAGATACCGTGGTTAAAAATGCTGTTCAAAGTTTCAATGTTGTGACCTGTCTGTGATACTTCGGAGGGGAAAGGGGTCTACTTCCAGATAAAAGACATCTCGCTACTCGGGCAGATCATGTTAGGAAGCCAGTCAACTGGACCCAGATGTCTGATGGTTTGGCATTATTTTCGGCTAGGTTTTTGACTCTGATGGTTTGGAATTGTTTCAAGCGCGGCCTGCTTGCACAGACCTTCTTGACCACAGCTTCTTGACAGCATCACTGACAACACTCAACGCGTCATGGATTATTCGGCGTGGAATATGAGGGTAGAGGAGAGAGAACATCACCGGTGACGGAGAAAGTCGAAGTTCTGGGCCTGGGAGTGTGACACATCTACCTCACTTGTGACCGGTAGGTAACGATACATGTAGCCATATGTCTCATATGTCCGTCTTCACGCACCCTGTGGTGACGAACGAGGCATTGCTTTGCAGCCTTTCCATTGAACCCATCGCATGGGACTTATATATCCTCTCAGTGCTTTCCGCCCGCTTAGAAGTAACCAACGGCAAGAGGGTGCAGTTGTTTGGGATATATAGAGACAAGGATGTCTTTCTAGTCCAAGTGACGCACACCACAACAACGGGTTCGACCTCCTTGGGATCTGATGTCGAAAAGCGTGAAAGGATTCGCCGAGACGTGACTGCTTCGATGTTGAGCCCATCTCCGTAGGGTGCGCTTATGCTGCTTGCATGGTCTGAGCTTCAATCAACATCTACAGCGTTGGATTATTCCGCGTGAGATACGAAAGGGGAGAAGAGGAACATGACTGGAGATGGAAGTCTGGAGACACACACGTTGTATCTGTACCTACCTTACGAATCTAACCTGCTAATGTCACAAGTGGCTAGGTTGGAGCTCATCACGAGTACCTACGAATACCTCAGACCACAAGGATTGTCAAGATGAGCAATCCCATCTTACAACACCTCTCTCTACTAGAAGGCGTACCTATTTGAATGCCTCAAGAACGGGTTCCGTTCTCTGAGGATGTTCTTGCGGCTCGATGGACGCCGGTCATGACCGCCTAGAATCATGTACCCGGCGCTCTTGGTGACCTGACCAGGCATTTCCGGTGCCAGAACTTATTTCCAAAGACGTTAGAAACCGTTGGGACGCCGTCTTGTAGAAATAAACGGTTGGATTATGTAACACGAATCCCATCGATCTCAATGACAAAAATGAAGGTGCGCTTTTGGCGGCAGTTCCTTCCCAAAAATCCCACGCACGGCACTTCAGATTAGGGGCTGGGTGGCCCAAGCTTCTCTTTCCGCTAATCTACCGAAAGACCGATTGGCCAATCGGGCGTCTGAAAAGTCAGATAAGTGGATACGAAATCGTGTTCGCCCCACCGGATTGCAGCGTGGAGCCGCGTTCTGGTCGCGTCGGTAACGTGGTTTCTGGTGTGCAGCAGCCTGAGAGCACACTCCAGTGCCTCCAGGTCCATCCACTTCTCAGAAAAAAGTTTCCCCGCTACCCGACCGACGCCTCCCAACATCGACATCGCCATCGACACCGGCGTTATATCGCTATTGAGGGGGCTCCACGAGCGAGCTGCCTTGCGACGAGATCAGTTAATTGCTGACAACGTCATTTCACGCCGCTGCTTCCCGCAGCTCTACCTCGAAAACCATGTTCTCCTCCATCTCCCAGCGGATCTTCGGCACGACTCCCCATAAGAACTCTTCTCCCGGCCCAACGAGGCCACCGCGCGACGAGCCCATGCGCCAGCCGTTCCCGTCTACAGCGCCTCCCGGAATGCAGGAAGCCGCCCGTGACCTCGATCGTCAATTCTCAGAAGTGTCGGAGACATGGGGCCAGGCCGATCCCGATGACGACGATGACGACGACGGGAACATCCCCGACGGCCTCCCCAGCGAGTACGACATCAAGGATGACGGCGACGGCGACGCCGATGGTGGCGATGATGACAGCGATGAATACGACGATCCATTCGCCGGCATGGCCGCATTTTCGACACAAATCAAACCCGATGAGGATGACGCTTCTACGAACGGATCCGACGAGGACGCCAGTGCCATCACCAAGGCCGAGCCCGAGCCATCAAAGAAGGCCGAAGAGAAGGCACCTGGTCGGAGAATACGCCAAACCGCCAGGTCTGAAGAGCAAGGCTCCTCAGCCCAGACTCTGCCCAGTCCGATTACAAGTGGGCGGTCGAACGGCTCGGCAGCCGAGGAAGACAGCGATGCCAGCTCCAGCCATCGACTTGTACTCAAAGCCGAGCCTCCAGCCCCTCCCGTGAGCAACAAGAAGAAGCGAAAGCGTAAGTCGAGATCATCACAGTCTGCCTCCGTCGAGCCGGAGGAATCGACCCGCGCCAAGAAGAGAAAGGTGCGCAAGCCTCTGGAGGACATTGAAGACGACGACATGGACACCCAGCCCGAGGAGACGGTTCCTGACTCGCCTTCCAACCAAATCGCCGCGGAAAACTCGCAGAGCCCCGGACTTGATCATGATGACTTTGACCACGATCTCACTCTGGACTTGCCCACAAAGCCCGAGCCTCAACAATCGCAGCTCGTGAGCGTCTCCAGGCAGCTGTTCCAGCCAACCAAGGGTACATCGACTGGTCCTACGTCGGTGAGCGAGGATGCCGAGCAAGACGACGTCATCAACGACGACATCAGCGATGACGATATGGGCGATGCGAACCACGAAGTTTCGCTGTCCTCCCCGAGCGTCATTGCACAGAGGCGAAGAAGCATGTCTAGAGGATCCCAAATCTCTTCATTTAGGCAGGGCCTGTCGAGGGAGTCAACCGGCCTGCCCGATAGAATCTCCGAGGCCGCAGAATCGGCAGAGGAAAACGAGAGTGAAGGCGAGGATGACCAGGCTGATCCGGTGGTTGATGCTGGCGGAGATGTCAGCATGGCAGAGACGTCGGCGCTCGCTTCCGGAGCTCTTCGTGACGACGCGGACCAAGAGGACTTCGCAGACCAATTGCCTCCGTCATCTCAGCCACCAAGGGAAGACAGTGCCAGCGTCGACGGAGACGCGATGGACGTTGACGACAGGAATGAAGACGCCGATGAGCGCTCTGGGTCCGAAGAATCTGAACAAGAGCTCGATAGCGATGCCGCTACGAACGAGCTTGAAGAGGCTCAGAAAGCAGAAGCGGAGTCTGACAACGATTCCGACGAAGAAGAGGATGAATTGGTTGTTGAGCAGCCTGAGCTTCCTACCAGATCGACTCGAAAGACGCGTAACGGCACTGTCCCAACAAACGGAAAGGCTACGCAGGCTCCTGTGGCGACCACGCCTAGGGCCGCCTCTCGACGTTCTAGACTGGACAGTCACCTCATCAACATGTCTGAGCTCAGCCATGTCCCCAGCTCGGCACAAAAGTCCGCTCGCTCCACTGGGTCCAGACGACAACGTTCCAAGCCCAACTTCTTCGAGGCGGCGGAGGCTTATGACCACTTTGACGAGGAGGAGAAGAGTGAAGACGAGAACAACCAACAAGATGAGAGCGACCAATATGAGGAGACCAACCAAGACGAGGAGAGTGATGAAGAAGAGGAGAATGACGAAGGAAGTGAAGAAGAGGTTGATGAGGGCACCACAGTAGCGTCCTCCTCGGGGAAGAAGACTTATGCCCGGAATCCAGCATCTCTACGCCAATCGATGCGTTCAACGACGACATCTCCTCAGAAAGCAGCGGCTACATCAAGAGCTTCCAAGTCCGTAGCTGCCAAGTCTACGACCCCCAAGTCAAGAGCGTCCAAGCCAATGCCCGCAGGCACTCCAAGATCATCTGCCCCCTCAAGAGCCGCTACTGCTTCGAAGGGCACGACTCCTCTCCAGCGGCTAGCCCGTCCGACGCCCTTGCACACACCGAGTGCACATGGAGAGAAGATGGGTCGTTTTGACGCGGAAGAGCACCGCAGGCTGGACGACTTGGTTCAGAAGTACAGGAAGCAAAAAGGTTGGACTCAACAGAAGATGAACAACGTAATTCAGTTGAGATACCGCGAGCGCCAACCCGACCACGGCGAAGACTTCAACGGGCAAGACTTCAAAGACTTGTGGGACTTCATTGTGCCCCATTTCCCTGACAGGAGTGGAACAAAAGTCAGATCTGTCGCTCGAGGAAGGTACGACAACTCCCAGAAGCGAGCAGGAAGCTGGACCCGGGAAGAGGATGAGAGAATTGTAGAGTTGCTCGACAAGTATCGCGGCTCCTCATCCCAATGGGTCTATATCGGCGAGGAAATGAACCGCAACCCCAACCATGTTCGTGACCGTTACCGCAATTACATCGTCTGCGGTCGCAACCCCGATGGCGTCAGTACATATCAGAGGTGGACTGAGGAGGAAGAGGAACAGTTGGTCGAGTGCGTTATGACAGTTCTCAGGCGTATGGAGCCTGCAGACCCTCGCAGACGCCCCACCAAGCCCATGGACTACGTCAACTGGTCAGTTGTCAGTGATGAGATGGAACGCAAACGCAGCCGTCTTCAGTGCGCCAAGAAATGGAAGCAGCTCAACATCGAACTCGGCGAGGACGACTATCACTTCCCGGAGGATTCAAACGTGAGCTGGTTCCTGAAAAAGGCCCGTTTGCAAGTTCGAGAGATGTCGCTGGAAGACAGGCACGAGCTGGTCAAGTCGATTCTTGATCTTGCTCCTGGCACAGACGAGGCGATACCATGGCAGAAGGTCGTCAACAACAACTTTCGGCAGAAATGGCATCGGCCAACACTCAAGCTCCTGTGGTTCCGCCTCAAGCAGCAAGTCCCCGGATGGGCTAAGAAATCAGTTAGAGACTGTGCTCGCTGGCTTTTGGAGGATGCCAAGAAAACCACGCTCGCGAAATCCAAGATTCTCACCGGAGGAACCCAAGAGCGAGGCATCGGGGCCGAGGAAAAGGCTATCCGCCTCAGCAAAAAGCCAGAGCCAAAACGTCCAAGGCGCAAGGCCACGCCTACGAAGAAGTCACCTGCGAAGAAGACTGCTCGGAGTGCCGCGATAGTGGAAGAAAGCGACACCTCTGAGGATGAGGACGTCGAGGGCCAGGACGATGAGACCGACAACGACGAGATTCGCAAGAAGCAGCCGATCAAACGCCTCAACCGCAAGGCGCCACCCCCGAAGAAAGCTCCTCGCAGTGCTGAGATAGTAGAAGAGAGCGATGCATCTGAAGACGAAGACGCCAATAGCCAGGAGGACGAGGAGACCAATGGCGACAATAACGAGACCGATGCCGAAGAAAGCGACGCGGAGGAAAGCAAAGAGTCGTCCGATGAGGAGATTGAAGAGCCAGTCGATGAAGAAGTCGAGCAGGAAGTTGAGGAGAGCGAAGATGCAGACGAAGACGAGTCACAGCAAAATGATGACGAGGACACGCAGTCTGGCGCCGCGCAAAAGCAATCGAGGGGAATCTCAGAGCAAGCAGCCCTGCAGCTCAGCTTCGCACCGTCTCTCTCACTTGGGGCAAGTCAACAAGTCAGCACGCAGCCCAGCCCCGCGAAGAAGCGAATCAGGTTGTCTAAGGGTCAGACTGTCAACAGCCGCGTCAGTGAAGGTGATTTCGAGGAAGACGGCGAGACGCTAGAGGTCTCTCCTACACAGTCACAGTCGCAACTCGACGTTCGCAAGATTCCTGATCGTAAGGCGGAGAAGAGACTGGCAGCCAGGCAGCGCGTCAGTTCAGGCAGTCGGGCTAGATCCACGGCATCTGCTCAGCCCGAGTACGTCCCGAACGATAAGATCGACAAGGACATGCCCCCGATTCGCGTGCCTCCTTCGACCCAGCCCTCGAGATTTCAAGCCATCAACCGGCCTCCGCAGGGTAACTTTGCCCGTCGTACGGGATCGAGCTTCCTCCCAGGCGAGCCAGTCGAGTTGACGGATGAGATGATGGCAGAGTTTGAGGCAGCGGACCGCGCTGATGACGTTACGGGTTCGATTGTGGACTCTCCCATCCCCAGCGCGCGCAGGCCGAGACGCCGTCGCAAAGACGCAGAGGTGGGCGAGACTCCTTAGAAAGCGGTCCTCAGCCGGCATCGCGGACGCAGCGCGCTGAAGCTTATTAAGAAACGCAAGTGAGGCGTAGTACATACAGGGTCACGATTGTTCAGTCCGATTTGCAAGCGGCCTGCTACCTACGGTGGACATGGCCGATGTGGGTGGGGTGTGTTTTATCTCGGCGTTCGGCGGAGAGGAGAGAGCACGGGAGACGGAAGACGGGAGCACCGGTTTTCTGGGGCATGCGGGGCGGTGACACGATGTGTGTGCACCGTACCTCTTTCTTTTTCTTCGCTTCATTTTTCACACCTGTATCAATACCTCGAAAGACAGGAGTCATTAGGAATCACAGAAAATTATTTCCTTGCTGAAGAACAGTACAATTCCGCGAAGTTGTGGTCCCCCCTGCCCTTGCAAAATTTTGTTTCTCGCGCGACAGCTGTGAGTTTACGTCATTGTTCATGACTCGGTCGTCGTGGGCAGTTGGACCACCGAGAGGGAATTTTCACGGGAAGAAAAAACGTTTGAGCGGGAATGTCGTCATACCACTTTACGGGCCATCACGAAGAAAATTCGTTATCCCCGACTGACGTGACCCCCTCCCTCTATAGCAAACTAACAAAATCAAATCCCGTTCCGTCGTCGTAGGGCTGTAACACCGATCGTTTTGGGGGCGCGTCCCCGATGATCGTGAGGCCGGCCGGTTTTCGGGGGCTTCAGGTACGGATGGGTTTTTTTTTGAAATTGTGGGATTGCGTTTTGTTTCCTGGTGTGAGGGTAGCACGGCGGGCGCGACGGCGTCTATTTACCCGCGAAGCGCGAGTTAAGAGGCACCAAGATTTGTTCCGTGACACGCGATGGGTACTGACGACCTGGACTCTGGGGAATGAATGGTGAGACAAGAGTAAAAAAATCTCTGGACGTCATCCGGACGTCTGGTCTTACTTTTTCGCGATTGTCACTCGGCGAAGGGCCCCGGGCGTGCCGGGCGTGCCGGGCGTCAGTCGAGACGTCAGATGGTGTATCGGCGCCGAAAGGGTTTTTCTTCGGAGGTAGGCCGGGAGTTGACTTGACGTGTATGTATCTGTGTACGTATAGATATGTTGTGAGTTTGTTCGGAGCAGACCGAGAGATCTCGAGAGGCGTGGCGTCATTCGATTCCGCGGCTCGGAATTTATGGTGATGGATGGGGGTGTTATCTAGTCATTCAAACATCTGCAAGCTTGATTCTTGGTGTGATTATGTCAGCCGAGTCGGACGCATGTATTTGTGAAGCTATTGTGAAGATCATGAGACGTTGCATATCTGGCTGTCACTAGATAGGGTACGGAGGAACATCAAGACCAAAGCAAAAAAATCAGAAGCGGAAAGGAAAGGGCGAACGGAAAACATCCGATCAGTCCACCGGCGGGCGGGAATAATCGACAAGGGCGGGCGGGTCCGGCGGCGTGGCCGCATTTCGGGCCCTTTTTCTTGACTTCCACCATTCCCACGCAGTCGCAGGGAGGATCCGCCGGGAAGGTCCCGCTTTCAGGGCGCACGTCCAGCGCGGCCGAGGGAGGGGCGAGAATTTGTGCGATGGGCCTCTCCTCGGTCTGTTGTCCATTTGCTGTTGTGATGGGAAATTCGGATTTTGATGGTGCTTTTCCATGTTTGTGAGGCTTGAGGCATGTGATGGTTTGCTGTGGTTGATGGTTGGTGATCTCGGTGTGAAGATGTAGCGAAGTGTGAGAGATGTGAGTTGTCTGCTCGGTGGGAGTTCAACATCGAGGTGAATGTCACTCTGAGACACGAATCCACGATGTCGTCGGGCATGAGCCTCACTTTCGGCCTCATCTCGCCGCATCGTCACCTCGGACTCCTCCCTCCCCATCCTCGATTCCCACTTCTCATTCCACGAGAGCTTCAGTGACCACAGTAGGTACCAACTATGCACCGCCAAACCACCAGAGGACGAGTCTCGTGTGTGTGCCGTCGCGTCCACAGGTCTCAGTCCGCTGCCCTTCGGCCCTTTTACGCGGTCGATTCTCCTCAGCGGTTTCCACATCTCATCAAGCTCAGTCAGGCCGTGCTACTCCCGTCCACAACGGCACGCAGACACGCAGCGGCGCATTGTCTCTCGCTGCTTCTGCTCCTGCTCCCAGGAACCGCCGATACAGACGATATTTTTGACGGGTCCTCGTGGCCGAGTCTCGGTCTTTTTCTGGACTCTCTCTTCGTGGGCTTTCCTAGGGGGAGGAGGGGTCGACAGGTGAGGCGGTCGCTCGCGGGTCTCTGCTTGAAGTGGAGGAGCCTTCACCTGGATTTCTTTTGGAATTTCTTCGTTGCGAAGCCTGAGTCTTGTGATGTTCGAAACTGCTGTGTTTTCGACGATGTTGCTCGTTGAGGATGTTGCTCGTACAGAGCCTCACGGTGACAACGCCACTCAGATCCGGACCACGGCGGACGGCCAGACGGCAGCTGGCGGCAGGCATCTGATTGCCGGACAGACCAGCGCGCGCAGGGAGTCAGGGGTCAGGGGGTCAGATTGCAGGGGATGAGATAGCAAGGGCTCAAACGGCGAAAGAGATAGAAGACGAAGAAACAGAAGCAGAAGCCAGCGCAAAAAAAGGTGTTGTGGAAAACAAGACGGTCGATGCAGGGGACGGACAGGGACAGGGGGGACTCTATATTCGGACCTTGCGTGGGCTGGCCATGCTCTGCAGCTGCGGTTGGCTGACGGGGTGTTGGCAGCTGACAGCAACATGCCACCTCCAGAAAGATAGCCAGAGACGCCGACAGAAGAGAGAGAATCTGCAGATTGAAGGCTGTTGACGTGCCATGCCAGATGGCAGATGGCAGATGGCAGATGGCAGATGCCGCCCGTGCTGTGGATCTTCACGGCATATGCAGCCACCATGTCCCTGTGTTTTCATCGGTTCCTTTCCGCTCTTGTATCTTCTCTTCCTCATGTTCTTTTTATTCAGGTAGCTTTTTGTTTGGCTTGGCTTTGTTCAACATCAGACGAGCCGTGATGGACGATCCTTCGTCCAAGAACAAGAACAAGAAACGCGGCAGGGAAGCTGACTCTTTCAGTGCCCTCCAAGCTGGTTTTGTTTATCAGCAGAACAACGCCAGATAACCATGCATATGTACCTCACCTAAGTCAAGCTGCCGTCTCCCGTCCCTCCATCTCGCGGTCGCGTCGCCTCTATCTCTGCCTCTGCACTCTGGCCCTGACGTCAATCGGAGGCTTCGGGATCTCCACCTGGCAGCCCGCCGCGGGAACATGGCACCGGCGGATCATCTCACAATCGTCGAACCCGCTAGGCCAGATTGCGACTTGAGCAGCAAATCGCCAAGGAGGAAGCGAAAAGGGTCCGATTGCAGTGGCTCCGAATTGTGGTCTCTATTCGGCGAATTCCCACCCACCCTGGACGACGTCGCAGGGCATCCCGAACCACGACGGTCCCCTTCTCGGCGGGATGATGGGTCTATCAGAATTTTGTGGTCTCGACAACCTTGAGTCCTTGACAGCTGGCCGGAGCCTCAATTCTCTTTCACTCGACCCGTCTCCTCTTAGTGGCCGAGCATTCCACCGAACTCTGAGTCTGTCAGTCAGTCCATCGTGGTCAATGACCGATGGCCGATGTCCGATGGTCCACGGATGGCACCCGAGTACTCTCTACCTCGTAAGATACTCAGTACGTACTCGGTATACGTCCATCCAACACGGTCTCCATCGCGACGACAGTTCCTCACGGTATTCCCACGGTCTGGCCAGAACCCGTTCCCTCTCCCCATCTCCCGCAACTCCCACAGTCCACACACGTACGTTATGCTTCCTGCGGCCTGCCCGCACTCTTCTTTGCCTCGCCCACGGGCCCCCGACTTCTTCGTCGTCCATGATCCGTTTGGCTCCAGTGGGGTTTCCGGGCGTGGCCCATGGGCCTCTGCATGGGCAGCTTGCCTGCCCAGATTTGCTTGGTCAGAAAACGGAGAAAGGGCATGATCATGAGGCATGAAAAGCACCTCTCCATCGGCTGCCAGTGTGGGAAAGTGGAAACTGGGAACTTACCACCGCGCGGAGGCGAACGGGGGTATACGGGGGAGAACGGGGTGAGGTTTTCGAGAAGCTGGTCACACGTCCACACACGTCCTTCACTTCTCACGAGACCGGACCCAGTGAATTGGAAATGGAAAACCAAGGCCGGCCAAAAGGTGATGTAGCTCCTGCCTTCTCGAAATTATTAAAATGAAATTTTCGCTCCTTCCGTTTGCTGTTTCCCTCTCCTCTCTCATCCCATCCCATCCCATCTAATAAGGGTTTTATCTCACCTTCACTCCCGCCTCTCCTCCCATCCTCCCTACCTCCCTCCTCCTCCTCACAATCACAACAACATCACCAATACCAAACAACAATAATAATATCACCAACAATCACAATCAAGCATTGATTACAACCTCGTCCAAGATGCATTTCCCCAAGTTCGGTGGCAAGAGCGTCGAGCACGACGATCGCGCCAATGACGCCGCCGCCGCCCCCGCGCCCGCCTCCGATATCACGGCCGAGCAGAAGGTCACCTTCGCCGCCGCCTTCCTCGGTCTGGTCGCCTCCATCGGAGGTTTCATGTTCGGATATGTCAGGTACGTCTTGCTCTAGCATCTGAGACCTCCCTGTCTCGGCTTCGGGACTCGAATCCGAGATCTGAGACCGACTCACCTTATTTCGTTTGCGCCCCCGCTAACACGCTCCTTCCAGTGGTCAGATCTCCGGCTTCTTCCTGATGGAAGACTTCATGCAGCGCTTCGGTGAGAAGCACGCCGACGGCACCATCACCTTCTCCGCCGCCCGCCAGGGCACCATCGTCGGTCTCCTCTGCATCGGCTGCCTCGTCGGTGCCCTCACTGCCGGCAAGCTCGCCGACACTCTCGGCCGCCGTCTGACCATCTCCGCCTTCGCCTTCTGGTCCTGCGTCGGTATCGTCATCGAGATCTCTTCTCAGAACGCCTGGTACCAGTTCGCCATCGGCCGCCTCGTCAACGGTGTCGGAATCGGCGCCCTCTCCGTCGTCGTTCCCATGTACCAGTCCGAGTCCACCCCCGCCATCATCCGCGGTGTCATCGTCTCTACCTACCAGCTGTTCATCACCCTCGGTATCTGGACCGCCGAGATGGTCAACTACGGCACCAACAAGAAGGTCGGCAGCGCTTCCTGGCGCATCCCCAACGGTCTCGGCTTCGCCTGGGCCCTCATCCTCGGTGCCGGTATCCTCTTCCTCCCCGAGTCCCCCCGTTACGCCTTCCGCAAGGGTCGCGAGGAGGAGGCCCGCCGCACCATCGCCAAGCTCGCCGGTGTCGAGCCCCACTCCCCTTCCGTCAACGCTCAGATTGAGGAGATCCAGGCCAAGGTCGAGGAGGAGAGCGAGGGTGTCGAGTCCATCTGGGAGATCTTCACCGGCCCCCGCATGCTCTACCGCACCGTTCTCGGCGTCGTTCTCCAGGCCGGCCAGCAGCTCACCGGTGCCAACTTCTTCTTCTACTTCGGAACCACCGTCTTCTCCGCCACCGGTCTGAGCGACAGCTTCGTCACCCAGCTCATTCTCGGCTCCGTCAACGTCGCCTGCACCTTCGGCGGTCTGTGGATCGTCAAGAACGCCGGTCGCCGCATGGCCCTTATCGTCGGTGCCCTCTGGATGATGGCCTGCTTCCTCGTCTACGCCTTCGTCGGCCACTTCGCCCTCGACCACGTCACCCCCGCCAACACCCCCACCGCCGGCGCCGTCCTCGTCGCCTTTTCCTGCCTCTTCATCGCCGGCTTTGCCACCACCTGGGGTCCCCTCGTCTGGGCCGTCGTCGCCGAGCTCTACCCCGCCCGCTACCGCGCCCCCGCCATGGCCCTGGCCACCGCCTCCAACTGGCTCTGGAACTTCCTCATGTCCTTCTTCACCCGCTACATCACCGACGCCATCGACTACCTCTACGGCCTCGTCTTCGCCGGCTGCTGCGCCGCCCTCGCCGTCATCGTCTTCTTCTTCGTCATCGAGTCCAAGGACCGCACCCTCGAGGAGATCGACACCATGTACGTCCAGCACGTCAACCCCATCACCTCGGCCAAGTGGAACCCCAACACCCACTCCGAGAAGCGCTCCGGCCACGAGTCCGGCTCCGCCAGCGACGCCGAGAAGACCGAACCCGCCACCGCCTAATCGCGCACAACACGGTGCTTTCTATTCTTCTTGGGCATGGATACCCCCAATCTTGGAAAGGCATGTCAAGGTTGTCGAGCCTGCTTATGCGAGCCTTCTGCATAGACTTTTTTAGACTTTAGAGGAGTCATTTCTTGTATCATCACATTCATTGCGACGGCGTTGGGAAAAAAAGGGGTGGCTTGCTGCTATTAGACAAACAAAATCGTTCATGAGGAATGAAATTAGTAATACACATTGATCAACATATAATCACTTGCCTGACAACATTGTCCGTATCGTGGTCCGCGTACTGCTTCTGCCCAGTGTGATTTACCATCCCATGTTTGACTCGCGCCGTTCGCCCAGACTCCACTTCCCTCCGGTGATATCGGGCTTCTGGCTGACATTCAAAATGCTGACTTCTATCCCAGCACGTCAGCGTCATATCCTACCAGCCCTGGCTCTTGCTCATTGCTGATGGCTAGTCATTCCCGTGCATGACTCCGTAGCTCTGCTTAGAGCCCAGAGGAGTGGAAGAGTCTGTCTGCGGAGACTCCGACACTGGGTCGAAACTTTGCTCGGAGTCGTACTTCAGGGATTCTCTCTTTTTTTTTTTCGTTATCGTTTACGGGACGATGGTTCGTGGATTGAGTACTTTGCGCGCAAGGGGAACGAGTTGGATGAGAAGACGCGTGGGATACGCGGGAGGCGCGGGACACCGGGACCAGGACCGGGTACGGAGATGTGGGGTCTTCGGCCCGGCGCCTCCGTTACGGAGATCTGTGAAACGGTCCGCGGGGACGGTCTGCATGTCGGTACCAAACTCACTTTGGCGTTTGGAACTCTAGACACTCAACCACTGAAGCGGGGGAGGATGAGAGTCTCACTTCGCTTCATCAAGGTCTCGCCCAACCTCTGTGATTGTAAGCGTTGAGGGTCATCTACGAAGCGCTACCACGGATACCTGGAAGTTCATCAGCACAGCGTTTTCTTTTCTTCTTTTCTGCATATCGCATGGTGCATCGGTACTTATAGTATATGGGGCTGACCCGTGCCTGTGGCGGTTTGCCCGCTTTCTTAAATGGGATTTAAGTTTAACGTCTTCATTGGCGATGTCTTTATTCGGTAATTCTGGTCTTAGAAGTTTTGGTGATTCGTCTTGGTGTATTGCGTCTGTATAGTTCGCATGTGGTGTTTTATACCGGGATAAATGAATTTTGTCGGTGGGAGATTGTTTCTATGGTGGATTTGTAAGAGATATGACTGTCTAGGGTAGAGGCATAAGAAGTTGAATTGTGAGGAGTAGACTTGTGGGAAGTAGAGTCATGAGTGTGTAAGTGCGAAGATATACCAGAAGTGAACCGTCGTGCTTACCACTTGGTTTATTCGATGATGCTCAGAGCAAGCTCGATAGTTGAAGGAATCCTACCCTACCATACGGAAGGTAGGCTTGACGGCTCCCGCCCTGTAGATGCCGGGGCTTGAGATGGACCATGGTCCCTGGCGGCATGATGCGGTGACTATAATCCATCTATAGTTGTTCCTGATGTGTCAGAACCAAGCCCCCTTGATAATTAACCATCTTCTAAGTCCGTCAAGGTATGATTGAGAAAGCCCGTGGGAAGTTAATGTCTGGATCAAGCCCGATAGATTAAGAGGCAAACCTATCTCCGCAAGGAAGAATTTTGCCTACACATAGCGCTGCCATCACTGCTCCTCTGAAAGTTCTTCTTTCTTCTGGGATCTACGCGCGAATCACCGCTGTACATAGAATTTCACGACTTCGTACAAGATTTTCTTTCCGTTGAATCTTTCTAAGTGTACATCGTTATAGTCTTACCGCATATATTTCCCAGCCCCAACGCGAAGATGCCTTGTAATATGGCCAGACTGTTTGCGCAGCTCCCGCCCGAGTTGCGACTGCACATATTCGAGCACGCCGTCTCCCCAGAACGTCCACTCGTCCACATTTTCAGAGTTCGCGAAGACGTGGAGAAAGACGAGCTCCTCCTCGCGGCCCCCGGTCCGAGCCCGGCGCCGGCAAACTCCAACACAGGCCGCAGCGAGCCGGAGCCGTCGGCGTACTACCACGACGAAGGCATGTGGGGCGCGTGCCGGGACTCGAGGACGGTGATCTCGCGACACTACCAGTCGACGATGAACCGACACATCAGAATCGACGCCCTCCACGAGCAAGACCCGGAAGGCGGCGTGTGGACGCCCCGACGCTACAACCGCCTCCTCCTCGGCCCCTTCCGTCAGGAAAACGAAGATATGAATCGCACCCTCACCGCCATCCCCAAGACGGACCTCATCTGCTTCCGCATCGATCCCGACCAGGACGTCGGCGTCTTTTTTGATTTGGCATGGTGGCAGGCCCAGGGCGCGGACCAGAGCCTCCCGTGCGGGCTCCGCGGCGCGCATAACCTCGCGTTCGAGTACGACGCCGCGTCGTGGTCGTTCGACGCCGGGACCGCGGACGTGGAGGTGATGATGAACGAGCCCGGCGCGCGGGGCGCGTTTCTGCATTTCCTGCACGAGCTGGCGCGGGTTATGCCCTACGAGGAGGACGGGGAGGGGAGGCCGTTTTTGCCGCGTGTTTTCCTGGTTGATCGGGATATACGCCGGAAGCAGGTTAATTGGATGGGTAGCTACGGGGGTGAATGGGAGTTCCACGGCGTGGGAGGGGAGAGGTATGTGGATGTTGCGGCGAGGGCGGTGGGGGGTGGGGAGGGAAGGGGGATGGACGCGTTGGGGTTCATTGATGCGATTAATACGTTTGACGAGGATTGGGCGGTTGTTTTGCCTGGTGGGGGATTTGAGTTGGTTGATTGGCATAATTTTGTGACGGTTCTTACTTGCTGTGAGTCCCGGTCGTAGCGAGGCCGTCATGGAAGAGGGGGGTGCGGGACAGAGGTACATTGATATCACGATGTATGGCCGGTGAATCTCCCCTCTGCCAAGTCGATATTGACTGCAGACCATTTTCTTTTCTATACGTGCCCCCTTGGGACTCGGCACCATGCTGCGCGCCCACGAAACTAACACCAACTCCTAGAGCGGATCCAGCTCACTAGGGTTATCAAATATCATAATCACCAACACTTCTGCCCTTCTCTACGTATGCCTTATTCTTACTTTATTCACTTTCTCACACTATACAAGTTGAACTACATTTATTACACTATATATCTACTATATATTCCTCCTCGGAACACCCCCTATTCGACTATTCGAGATGATACAACGCCTCAAGCTTCGCGTCTCGCTGAAAGAGTACATATCTCTTAACCAACCAAGGCAACCACGTACGGAACTGGTACGCGGCGTGTCGACGAGTGGGAACCCCAAAGATGTAATCGAGCTCCTCCAACGTGCGCTGTCTACGAGGTCAAGGGTCAGTATTAAAAACACGGGCAGACGGATCTCGAACAACATACTTTGTCTCCGGAATGATGAAAAAGATGACGGCGAACGCGAGAAGGTTCAGCCCGGAGTAGAAGCAGAAGGCCCCGGTCGGTCCGATCCTGTGCAGGAGCTCGGGGAACGAGAGCGTCAGGGCGCTCCCGACGGCGTTGTTGACGCAGATGGTGAAGGCGGAGCCGATCTCGCGGTGGGACAGCGGGAAGGCTTCGGAGAAGTAGATGGATGGCAGCGGGCCGATGCCTTTCGGTTTGTTAGGCAGGTTTTCTTGTCGTCTCGGGGAACGAAGGGCAGCTTACCGGGTCCGTACATGGCGGTGAAGAGGTAGATGAAGAACGCGATGAGCGGGACGCGGGCACTCGAACCCTTATCTAACAGAAAGCTCAAACCTGCCGCCAGCAGGCACCACGCCATGTTGGGGAATGTTATGAGCAGGAGGTTCCTGCGACCGAAGGTGTCCATCATATACACGGCGGGAAACGCGAAGAGGAACATGACCAGACCGAAACCCATGGAAGCGAGGAGACAGTCCCTGGCCGAGTAACCGGCCTCTAGGAAGATTGTGGAGCTGTAGAACGACATGATATTGATGCCACTGTATCAGTGTCAGCAATTATTCGACGACGAATACGACGACGACGACAACAACAACAACAACAACGACGACGACAATAACAACGACGACAATAACAACGACGACAACGACGATAACGACGACAATGACGACGATGACGACGATGACGACAACAACGACAACAACGACAATGACGAGAGTTTCAGCAACCTACCTAAACTGCTGCGAGATGACGATCCAGGAAGAGGCAATGGTCGCGCGGCGGAGGCGAGGGACGGTGAGGAGATCGGTCATGCGGCGCAAGAGAGTCTGCCCGCCAAAAGCGTTCTTCTCTTCAATGACCTGCCGATGCGCATAGTACAGGTCCCGCGCGGCCATCATCTCGGTGTTCCGGATGCGACAGAAGGACTTGAACGACTCTTGATACCGGCCCTTCTTCATCAACCAGCGCGGCGATTCTACTCTTGCGTTAACTGATGTGACACTCTTCCCCCGACGATGAGTGAGCAACGTACCTGGACACATCCACACAAAGATCAACACGGGAATGGCCGGCGCAAAGGCGGCGGCGAGCTGGAACCTCCACGCCAGGTCCCCGATGCGGTACCAGATCAGGTTGGAGCAGAAGCCCACGAAAATCCCAAAAGCAACCCACAGCTGAAAACTCGTCACGATCCCGCCCCGGACCGCCGCGGGCGCGACCTCGGCCGAGTACACCGGGATGGTCGAGATCTTGACGCCCATACCCAGACCCATGAACAACCGACAGATCATCAGCCCCCACCAGTTCCGCGTGAAGGCCTGCGCGAGCACGGGGAAGACGCAGAACAGGCCGGTCAGGAAGATGGTGCCGCGGCGGCCGAGGCGGTTGTTGATGGGGTCGGCGGCCCAGGCGCTCAGCAGGCCGAAGAGGGTGGGGCCGGCGTTGATGACGCCGACGAGGGGCTGGTTGTGCTCGATGCCGAACTCCTGCGGGAAGGAGAGGTTGGCGCCGTTGGCGCCCGTGTTGTCCCAGCCCTGGATGGCGGAGCCGAGGGAGCAGAGGGCGATGCTGTAGTAGAGGTCCTTGGGGAGGTGCCACTTGTGGGTGACCTCGCGGCGGAGGAAGTGCTTGTCGTCCTGCGTGAGCTCGTCGACGGTGTCGTATGAGTCCGGGTTCTGGGCCGCGAGGGCACCGCGGTAGAAGACGTCTTGCTTTTCTTCGAAGCCGAATTCGCGGCAGAAACCGGCGACCTGGGTTCGGAGATCTGATCTGGAGATTCCGACGAGCGGGTTGCGGATTCTGTGGTTTGGTTAGTAACATGTTATAGATAGGCGTTGATGACTTCTCACTTGGCGTTGATGTTCCGGGTGTAATCGATGTCACTGTGCTCGACGTGGCTCACGTCAAGCTTGGACTTGACGTCCCCTTCGAGGTCGGATACACGAGACATGATGATACTCTTGATGTTGAATAAGAAGAGGATGAGACATCGAGCAGATCACTGGTTATTTCATGAACCGACGACGTGAAGTCAAAGCCGACGGAGGCTCTTATATCCACTCCATCTCGACCGAGAGAATCCCTGCCACCCAGCCCCTCCCCCATGGGGTCGTACGTGCGGTTACCGGGTGTTCGTCACCAACGTCAGACTGGCCGGCATCAATCAACTGTTGAACGGCTGTTGCGAATCCTTCGAAGCTGCTCCCGTGACCGGCTTCCGCTGTTGCGATGCCCTGCGCAGGACGGAACCCCGGTGTCGTTTGCACGCTTGAGGTCTAGGCAGTGTGGGGTTGCCCTGTGTGTGTCAAAGGAGCCGGTCAGGTTAGGTGAGACTCATAAGACGCACTAGTTAATTGCCCTGTACAGGCGTTGGACGATTGTCCTGTACAGGGCATCATGGGTGTTTGCCGGTTGTGATCCTTGTCGTCTGACTTCCTTGGACCTGCCGCTTGGCCGGCGGAGTGAAGTACAACGGAATAGCTCATGATGATGTAAGTCAGGGAACATTCAATCCCTAGTTGCCATTGTCTCTCAGCACCCACGGTTTATACCGTACAAATACCTTCAATATGTCTTTGCAGAATCATCCTCCCTGCCTTTACGATGTTGGCATTGAATTCGGTGAGACCCATAGGTTCTGTTGGACAAACTGCCCCATGTTCAAAGAGTCCAACAACGTAGGTAGACCGTCACACCACGCGTCAGCGGTGGGGGCCGTATGTCGGGAAATAACATGGTCGTATCCCGGGTCATTTACCCCAGAGTATCCTCTTTCGACCCCCCACCGACCCCGAGGTGTGATCAGACGATGCGCCGGGGTCTACCCATGGAGATGCGGGGTTCGTGATGCCCTGCGTGTGCTCCCCCGGTGCCCTGTGTGTGGTATCCGGAGGGGTTTCTGGGGATGTCTCGTCATTGGTCGGACAGATCTCTGAATGGAACCGTCGAGCCGGCCGATGACGATGGGTGAGCCGGATTGTCACACGCAGGGCGTTTTGTATGGGATTCTCGAAATCTGATGGAATGAGGGACTCGTATTTAAGCTGCTATTCTGTACGCATTGAAGTAAGCTTAATGGCCAAGCCTCAGCAGTTTAATCGACAATAAACGAAATCAAACGTCTATACGCCTCATAGCTCTTCACTGCGGAATCCGACATCATGGGAAGCAAGGGCACTGTAACGTGGCTCGACAAGCTCGAGGAGCAGCGTGCGTGAAAGAAAGCGCCCATGAGCGTCAGAGTTACTAACTGGAGGCAGTCAACGTCGACGTCGACTGGATGGACCCCGAGTACATCAAGAACATGCCCATCGTCCCCCACGACCAAACGAGCAACCAGCTTTGGGTTGACATCCAGCTCGGCGACGCGTCCAACAGGGACATGTTCCTCGAAACCGCGAAGGAGCTGAAGAACGAGGGCTGGCTGGCCATCTACACCCGCATGGTACGTAAACCACGAAGGCGCACGAATTCTGAGTCCCGTCTCGCTGACAGCCACCTCTCACAGGCCGTCCTCATGTGCAAGAAGAACATCAACTCCATCCGCGGCCGCGTCCTGCTGCAGACGCTCCCCTCCAACGCGTACAAGACCCAGGAGACCCTCGACCACGCCCGCCTGTACGACAGAGAGTTCGCGCGCGCCGGCATCGGCCGCGACAGGTACTGCATCAAGATCCCCTCGACCGGGCCCGCCCTCAACGCCGCCAAGATCCTGTCCTCGGAGGGGATCCCGACGCTCGGCACGGCGCTCTTCAGTCTGCCCCAGGCCATCGCCTGCAGCCAGGCCGGCATGCTGTACATCAGCCCGTACTACAATGGTGAGTCTCGTCGGAGGTGATGATCCGCGGCGCGGAAAGCTGACGGCAGTCTCCAGAGGTGCGCGCCCACGACGAACCGGACACCCTCTGGCCGAATGTGGAGGACCCGGCCACGCAACACCCCATGTCGGCACGCATCGTCCAGATCATCGACACCTACAAGCGCCTCTACAAGGAGACCGGCAAGGAACAGCCCCTCGTCAAGAACGCCAGCTTCATCTCGGCCAAGGAGGCGATGGCGGCCGGGGAGATGGGCTGTCACTCGGCGACCATCTCGCACACCGTCCTGGACCAGCTGGCGAAGCTCGAGTACGACGGGACGAAGCAGCCCGGGGAGGGCGCGCCGAAGCCCGTCCACGCGTACAAGAACGCCGGACCGACCCCCGAGCGGCTGAAGAAGCTGGCCAACGTCGACCCCTTGGCCGCCGCCGAGTGGGACGGCAAGCTGGCGAGCACGGATATCGACTATCTGGCCGACGGGGGCGTGGAGCTGCAGAAGGCCATTCAGGCTGATCCCATTTCGACGACGCGTCTGGCGGATGCCCTGAAGCTCTTCATCGGCGGCGAGGAGAGGAGCAAGGCGAAGGTGGAGGAGGTCCTGAAGCAGATCTAGACCGTCGCCGTGCCGCGTCGTCCAGAGAAGCGTTAGAATGGGAGAGTAGACCGTGAATAGATCATCCTGGCCACGAAACCCATTGCTGTTGCTGCTGGAACTGCATGCCCTGATTCATACCCGATGAACCGAGATAGCTGGCCGAAGTGGGCAAGTCGGACGTGCCGAATGAAGACGTCTCCGTTCCTGTGAAATCCATCGAATCCATGTCTTGGTACGAGAGCTGATAGTCGTTCATGTTTGAGGTCGAGACAGGCAAGTTATCGGATAGCTCATTGGCTTGCATCGCCGCGGCCTGGTCGGACATGACCGCCAAGCCCGCCATGGACGCCGTCTCTCCAGAATAGTCACCGGGCTGAGATTGCGTAACTTGCGGCCAGGACGTGTCGAGCAGAAGACTGTCCATCTCCGAGACGGTACGTGCATCCTGCGTCGGCTCCGACGGGAGAACTCGCGGAACGTGCGATGCTTCCTCCGACAGCTCATTACTCGCCACCCCCGAGTGACCCTGCTCGTCAGAGGGACCTCCGGACTGTTCAGAGCTCTTCCTCGTCGTCTGCGCGAGCTGCGCCGCGGCCGCACGCCGCTGCGTGTCCTTCTCCGTCTCGACGAGCCCGTCGACGTTGGCGACGACGCGCCTCGGCTGCCGCAAGCTGCCGCCGCCCCTGGCCCTCCTCCAATTGTTGACCTCGGCCAGCAGCTCATCGCGCTCTTGCATCAGGGACTCCACGCCCCGCAGCGCGTCGATGCATCGGTTCTCGAGAAGCCTGAGGCGCGCCAGGCTCTCCGTCACGACGACGTGTTTCGAGAGGCGTTGGGGATCAGTATCCGCGAGGGCGGGGAGGTTCGCCGCCAACTCCTGAAGCATTTCACAATCACCAATCAGCAAAAAAAGAAAACTCATCAGAGAGGCAGAGAGGGCGAATGACGGAACTCACAATCAATTGCACCTTGAAGGCCTCGCGACGACCTCTCTCGAAGATCCGGTGAGCAGCTCGGTCGTCGGCGGTAAAGTTCCGGACGCGCTTCTTGGGGCCCTTCCTGCCCGGAACCCTCTCCGACGCGGTCGCGGTCGGGTGGTCGGACGTAGCTGTGCCTTGCGCGGTCGTGTTCATGGGGGCTTATCACCGTCCAAGCCGGTTCTCGATGAAAAGGTCTTTCCATTCAGTTCAGTGTTGTTCGCGGGTACGGTAGCTGCGTGCCGGATAGGACGCTGCGTAGCTGTGGGAAGCTTGCGGGATTGATTTGAATCTTTCTCTGTTGGAAATCGGGGACGAAACGAAGCGAAGGAGGGGGGTTTCGAGCTTTGTTAGCTTTGTTGGTCTTGTTCAGGTGAGGAGTAAGGCCGTCGTCCGATCGATGACCGAGGGAGTGAATGAAAGGCGGCCCCTGGGCCGCATTGCCAGGAGCTCTCTTCCTCAGGGATCATGGCGGTGGGATTGCCCTTGCAACGTGAACTGCTGAGACCCCGCACGCATCGAAGCTGACCGTCCCCAAATGCCTAATCGAGTATTCCGGCTGTTGGAGCTTGGCAACCCAGCTTCCGTAACCTTTTTTTCTTGGCCATGATACACACGCCGATCTTTACAAGCTCGATTTAGTGAATTGACAATGTTGCGCAAACAAAATCTTGCCGTAGTTTACGTAAAACGGTGAATAGGTCGAGTGCCGAGAGAACGCCGGGCTTCGGAGCATCGGTCGGCGGTCGGCACGGCCCCGCTCGGCCCAGGCGCCGCGCGGAAGGTGATTGGGCGGTCCGGCTGAACTTGAACGCGCAATACATGTAATCTCAAAGTCAGATGGCAGCTGCGAAGAAAGGGATTTGTATTAATTGCGTTTATCTACCGCATTCTCACGCCTTCTCCTGACCGAGAGAGGCTATTAGCTGAAACAGATTCCCATCCAACTTTAATCGCCGACCGGCTTTAACAGTACGTGATTGTGAGAAACTGCGGCCGCCCGGCGCATTTTAGGTGAAGTCTAAATATTCCGAGAACGTCATTGGCAACTTACGTCGCTTAGCGGACGACAACCCGTGAGTCTGTGCTGGTCCTCGAGCCGTCCCACGTGCTCTCGTGGCCGACTTCGCCTGGGAGAGAGCTTATGGTAACCCGATCTAAGTGCATAGATATTGGTGATAGCCAGCTAAGGTACTGTTGACTCCACTCGGTAAATAATCACAAGAGAAAGTAATTTTGTAGTATCTAATCTCAATTCATGATTATTGAATCACGGTCTCAAAACCATGAATCTGACTAATAACGGCAGCCTCAACACAAACTACGCCGACTTCATTTCGAGTCCCGAGTGCTGACAGCCAAATTCCACCTCGATTCGAAGTGTCACCACTTACAACGTCGCAAGCCATTCCTCAGCGCTGATCACACTCGCACTAATAGGAAACACCTTCGTCGTCAAAACCCGATGCACCTCCTCGTCCCGGTCCATACACAAATCCTCCAACACCGTAAGCCCGTAATCCCTATCCATCGCCTCCCTCACAGTCGACAGCACGACGCCGCTCGTCGCCACGCCCGCGATGACAAGATTCCTCACGCCCATGCTCCGCAGCACGACCTCCAAGTCGCTGTTGTAAAACGCCGAGATGCGTGGGCGGTTGACGACGACCTCGCCCTCCCGCGGCGCCGCCTCGGCCACGAACTCGAGCCCCTCGTTCCTCTGGCCCTCGACGTGCACGAAGTCGTCCGTCGACGCGATCCGCGCCCAGAACGGGTGGCTGCGGGGCACCTCGGGGTACCCGGGGCGGAAGTGGATCGTGACGTGGATGACGGGGACGTTCTTGGCCCGGGCTGCCGCGATGCCCCGGGCCACGCGGGCGAGGTAGTCCTTTGTGTCCGGGAGCCGGGAGACGATGGTGTTGATGAGGTCCATCACGAGGAGGGCGGTGCCTTGGGTCGGAGCAGACATGGTTGTTGATGTTGATGTCGATGTCGATATTGATAACGAGATTGGGTTTTCTTCAGGGAGGTGGGATACCGTTGATCGACGACTTTGTGATGCCTTCAGTCATGATGACTCTTGTTCGTCGCCAAGACTTGATCTTTTATACTTCACGATCCCGGAGATTATTCTTAAGCTAAGTCCGTCTACTCCTAAAGTCCGCCATCGCCGACTACATTGGAGTCTCAACTCTCAACTCTCCGTTCGATATGGTCAGTGCGTTTGAATCCTTCGAATCTACAAAGTCGCATGTGTTTTGTTCCTTTACATGTTGAGATTTTTGAACTGAGTAAGATACTTGCAGGTCGTAAAGATGAATATCCTGACGTAGCATCCATCTCCACGCTTGCGCCGTATTACACTAATTCTGGCCAAACTCTAACCCCTGATTCGGCACAGCCGGGAGCCAGTGCCCGATCACCAAGCCAGGTTCACCATGTCAAACTTCATCTATCAAAGAAGAGCAAACCCTTCCCAACAACCTTGGCAGTTGGGTACGCAACTCCCCTCCTGTGAAACGTTCACCCGCAAAGGAATTTCAAGTCAAGTATCACAGCAACCAAACAACTCCTACCAAGTACGACCGAACGTCCAACGAGCCGCCACAAACACGCGTCTCATTCCAGCAGACGTGGTTCTTTACTTACCCCATTGTCATTCCTCCCTCGGAGCCGCCTCCGTACCACCCAAACACACGACTCCGGAGCCTCAATGCCCGTTCCCTGCCGATCCCATCCCCCCAAATCCCGCCGGGCAATTAAAGAAAAAGAAAACCACTATATCTAAGTTGGGCGCTGTTTGCCAAGCGACCGACTTGCGCTCGGAATGTGCTCCACCGAGAGTAACCTTTCCGCCGCCATTCATGGCCACAAACCACAAATAAACCGCGCCCGTCGCCCGCGATGTCAAAGGAAAAGGATGGCAGATTCTTAAAGGCCGGATAATCATCCAGTCTCATACACTCATTTTCTGTTTCGTCTCCGTTCATTATCGACAGTCGCTCATTTAAGCACAACATGAAGCTCTCCCTCGCCATCCTCCTGGCGCCCCTCGCCCTCGCCGCCGGACCCCTCCGCATCGCGACGGTCCACGAACCGCGCTCCGCCTCCGCCGCTGCTGCTCTTACCGAGCGCCAGGCGCCCGTCAGCATCGACCAGCTCTTCAAGCGCAAGGGCAGCGGCAAGCTCTACATCGGCGTCTCGGGCGACAACGGCATCATGCAGCAGGGCAGGACCGAGGCCATCGCCAAGGCCAACTTCGGGCAGGTCACGCCCGAGTACTCGATGAAGTGGGACGCCACGGAGCCGGCGCGGGGCCAGTTCTCGTGGGAGAACGCGGACTACCTCGTGAAATGGGCCGCGGCCAACGGGAAATCCGTCCGCGGGCACACGTTGCTCTGGCACCAGGCGCTGCCGGCGTGGGTGGCCGACATCAGGGACAAGAACGTCCTCGCGAGGGTGCTGCAGGATCACGTCAAGGCGGTTGTCGGGCGGTATAAGGGGAAGATCAGGTCGTGGGTGAGTTTGAGTTGAAGTTGTGGTTTGGGCGCCGGAAGTGCTCTCTCGCCATGCGGAAAACGGGCTGACACGAAGTGAATAAAGGACGTGGTCAACGAAATCTTCAACGACAGCGGCACCCTCCGCAACAACACCTTCTTCAACGTCCTCGGCGAGTCCTACGTCGGCATCGCCTTCCGCGCCGCCCGCGCCGCCGACCCGTCCGCCAAGCTCTACATCAACGACTACAACCTCGACAACAAGGACTGGGGCAAGCCCGTCGCCCTGGTGAAGAAGGTCAACCAGTGGATCGCGCAGGGCATCCCCATCGACGGGATAGGTAAGGGGACATCCTTTAGAAAAAAAGAAATTCTGAAGATAATTGAACGACGCAATTTGCTGAGACAGCGTATTCTGTGAAATAGGTTCCCAGTGCCACCTCGCACAGAACATGTCCGACAAGATCCAGGGCGCGCTGGAACTCCTCGCGACGGCCCGCGTCTCCGAGGTCGCCATCACGGAACTCGACATCAACAACGCCCCGCCCGCGCAGTACGCCGAGGTCGTCCAGGCGTGTCTCAACGTGCCCAAGTGTCGCGGGATCACCGTCTGGGGGGTGAGCGACAAGGTAAGAGAATTGAGAGTTTCGCCCGCGTGTCTCGGTGTCAACTGACTGACGTGCGAACAGCAATCGTGGCAGAGCACGGCGAAGCCCCTGCTTTTCGATGAGAATTATAACCCCAAGCCGGCGTATAACGCTATTGTGAATAAGCTGAAGTGATGGAATCGGTGTTTTGAGAGGGTTGGATGAGTGTGGTTATGAGTTGACTGCATTCTTATGACATGATCACGATCTTATATTTCTACACCGGTTCACTATATGATAGACTTACGAACATTACCAGCCAAAAAGGCATACCTCATGCTATTTATAAATTCAATTCTAGAAATCCGTCATGTCGATTCTGATATACCACCACAGTTCTGTCTACCCTGTCTTCGAACTTGATTATCTCTCACAGACGAGCCCTCACGCTGAAAGACCGCCACGACGCCTTCACATATCATCCTTCCTCCCCCTCGCAAGCAACACAGTCCTCTCAACACTAAACGGGCCCCCCTGATACTTCCTCTCCAAGAACCGCCTAATCGCAGGCAACAGTTCCCCCTTCAGTCCCACCTTCTGCTCCCTCGTCCAGAACCGCTCGACAACCCCGTACATGAACGCCTGAAACACGGTACAAAACTCGTCCGGCCCGGAGAAGCGCACCCACTTCGTCACCACCTCGACCTCCACGTCCACGAACCCGGCTGCGGTGAACATGGACGTGACGAAACTCGGCGACTCCCAGCACCCGGGGCCCCAGAGGTTCGTCAGCTCCGCCGAGTTCCGCGGCCAGCAGACCGGTCGCCCGCCGGGAAGGGCGAGGGCGGATACGGCGTCCCGCGTGTCTGGGATCCAGCCCTCGATCACCCAGGTTGATGTCGCGAAGGTGCCGCCTGGTTTGGTGACGCGGTGACATTCTGTTGTTTTCGTCAGCTTTGGTCTGGTTTGAGAAAAGAGGCTGGTCTTACCGGCTACGGCTTTGTACGGGTCGGCGATGAGCATGATGGCCATGGCGCAGATGACCACGTCGAAACTCCCGTCCTCAAACTTCTGGTCCTGCCACGAAGTCAGCCATCCCCTCGCCGTCCCCATTCTCACCCCAGACACATACCATGATATCACACAGCGCAACATCAACCCCAACCCACCCCTCCCTCTCAATCTTCTCCCTCACGACGCCCAGCTGCGCCTCACTCGAGTCCGCACACACGAGCTCCAGCTTCTCCCCCTCTCGGCCCCCCATCTCCCTCACCATCCTCTGGACGCACCCCGAAACAACACCGGTGCCGCAGCACATATCTATGACGCGCACGGGGTTCGGGTTCGAGCTCGCGGCCGCGGCGACGAGCCTCTCGCGCAGGCCGGCGTGGTCGACGAGGCACGGCGTCACGGGGCCCGTGAGGTGCTCGGCGTGCCGGTATATGTTTCCGGCTTCCGGGGTGCGCCAGAAGGAGGTGAGGTTCGCCTTGTCGCCCGCCGCGTTGAGCGGGGCCGCCGCCACGCTATCGGCGGTCGGAGGCTTTCTGTTGATGTCGGAGGTGAGGGGGGCGGGGGCTGGTTTGGTGACGAGGGAAGACATTGTGGGTAGCGTGGGAGGGATGTGTACTAGATAATGTAAGATAAGCGTCGGACGATAATAGACTCGAGACGATGATGGCTCGAAGTTAACCTACCACCATCTCCTCCACCCTAAGGCGCGGCATGCTCCAGCCTACTTATACAGATGTCCTCATCTCACGCAAGCTCCAAAGGAACCGATTGCCTCGCTTTACAAACCAGGTAGAGCTCCCCGTCGTCCCGTCGCGAACACGAAGAAGGGAAGAGAAAGGTGTAACAGGACATCATTGGGGGTGCGAACCGGTGGCCTGCCGACGGAGCGCTGTTGGTTCCTGACATAAACGCACGCGAGCCGCACCGAAGTCGAACTTTGTCGGCAAGCCAAGGTTTCGATTATTTACAGCATCATGTCCGTCTCCGGCCTTGGCGGCGATCTTCGGAGACGAGTCCACGCGAAAAGGCTATGCGCGATGCACCACGCTCTGGAACTCGATGAGATGTTTCCGCGTGGTCTGGCTCGAACTTTTGCCGCTCAAATTTTATCGAAATTCGATAGGCTCATGGCAACAGTTGTGCCTCCTCGGTTTGAGAATCCGCCGGCCGACTCTCTCCTCACAGACCTGGTAGCGAGAAAGAAGCTGCCTCTCTCTCGACCGTCCCATGGCAGCCCACCACCAGCTGTTGGTCACAGCTCCCAAGAGACTCAGACTCTAAATCAACACAAAGCTTGATTTCAATTGGTCAGCCCAGTAAGTCGAGGATGAGAGAGGTGGTGGTATGGGCGTTGAGTTGCCCAGACTTTCCCCTTGCCGAATCAAGACAACAGAAAAAAAGGTTCGGCTAGATGTCGAGACCAGTGCAACGACTAGCCGAGAACTCTCTGAACCCCCTTTCCCACGAGCCGCAATCAGTCCGTATACATCATATGCGCTGCTGTTCATCAGGCAAAGTTGAGGTCCCTTCCCATCTCGTCCCCTTACCCTAGCAAACGGGAACGCCAATAACTCTGAACCTTGAACTGGTTATCGGACTCCCCCAAAATTAGCTATGAGCTCCAGCGTAACCGTCGGAGGTGTGAGCTTCGCTCCGTATAGCTCATCGCGTCGGTCGGTGATTGCGGTTAGTTGTGACACTGAACATGTCCGCCGAGATGGTCATCGGCCGAGGCGGACACCCACATCCGCCTCCGATGCCACGCTTTTGGAACCGATACCGACCGCCTACCGTGCAGTGAAACGGGTTGAGACTCTGACCGTTGAGACTCTGACCGGGACATCCGCCTCTCATGGTCGTTATATGACTTGGAGAATGAGAAATCATAACCATTCCATTACTCATGTCGCATCCCAATAGACCGTAAATGTACAAGCCCTCTTTAAGATACCAGCTGCCCCTCGAAGGCGTAGCGTCCGCTCGGCGGCAGCTTGTCTATCCCAGTTCCATCTATTTCTCGCGCCATTAGCATGCTTCCTATTTCGGTTGTTGTGCTCTCAGCGCGTCCACCTCCCGTTGCAGCGCGTCCAGATCGGCCAGGATATCTGCTCCTTTGCCTGGGTCGGCGTATCCCTGCGAACCGTCTTCACCGGGCTCCTCTGGCACATTAGTGCTGAAGCCCCTCGTGCTATCAATACTTGGTCTCCTAGCCCCAGCGAAGCCATCCATACTGCCACGGCTGCTGCCTCGCTGTCGAGGAGGGGGCGGTGGCGGGGCGTTTTCTTTCCCACCGCTAGCTTTCCTACTTGTTGCGTCAAAACTCCTCACACTTGGTGGCCGCCGTGTTGATGTGTTCCGCGCAGGTGGCGGCGGCGGAGGAGATATTTTTGGGGGAGTGATCTCCGAGGCGGGATTCTCAACGTCTGACGGGGCAGGGCTGGCAGCGTTGAACGAGGCAGTCGATGGGGAGGCAAGCTGAAACGACTGCCGGTGTGACGCATGTGGGCGCCGAGGAGGCGGCGGCGCCGGAGCGTTGATACTTTTGAAGCTCTCGGACCGCGAGCGTTGCGATTCCAGAGAAGACCGAGGCGGCGTGTCTGCTTCGGAGCCCGTCATGCTCGGAGCATTAGCCCCGGCGGAGGCTGTCAGGGATTGACTCCTCGCATGGCCCCGTCTTGGTGGCGGGGCTGGCGTCGGCTTCTTCCCCGACGCCGGCTGAACCGGGGTCAAACCTGGGGTGGGGGGATCCTGCTCGGGGACTTTGCCAGCGGCTTCTCGGGCGAAAACATCTTCCGTCCCATCTCCACCGTGAGAACTGGGAGCCGGAGGGAGCGGCTTGTTCACATCGGACGGAGAAATCGGCGATGCATTCTCAGAGGAGATGTGAGGCCGCTCTGGCGTCTGAATGCTGATCTTTCTCCCGTGTCTTGAGCTCGGCGGTGGAGGCTTCCTCCTAGACGGAGGTGAAGCCAGTGTGATGCCGCGGTCCGCGATGTCCGATGACGAACACGGGGTGTCCGGGTCAGCGGGATTGAACGCATCTGATCCCGCCGCATGTGCCGCCCCCGCAGCGTTGCCGCCTTGTGAAGCAGCCCCGGATTTGCCAGTGAGCAGTAGCATCTTGAAGGCATTGACATCTAGGGATTTGCCCTGGCCCCCAGATGAAGCATTCCCCGCATCCAGACCTCCGACATCCTGCAACTTTTTGCCAAATGGGTTGTCGGGCGTGATGGTGGGGTCTGCATTGGCCAGGCGTAGCGGCGCAGCCTCGTCCAAGCCGTCGGGAAGCTCGGGAAACCTCTTGGAGAACTGGTCGTCCTCGTCGTCCGAGGCGTCGTCACTGCTATCGTCCTGGCGTCCAAATCCTCTGCTATTCACCGACTCTGGGGAGGAGGGTGAAGACGGCGGCGGCGAGAGCACCCTAACCCTTTTCACGACCTTGGCTTTGGCGGGTCGTCCCTCAGGCACGTTATCTTTGGAGATGCCGGATGTGATAGACTCGAGGAAGGCCGAGGTGGAAACGGGCTGAGGAGTAGAAGAGAAGGACGTCGAGGCGGTCTTCCGGCGGAAGGGGTTGTGTTCGGATGCCATGGTTGCTGCGGGCAAGGAGTCGGCTCGTGCGGAGTGTGATCAAGACTTTGGAGAAAAGAAGTATTAGGCAGGCGCCATCGTCGTCTCCCAAGGAGAGGCGCTGTCGAGCGACGAAGCGTGGTTTTCAGTGTAGACTGCGCGCAGAATCGAGCGTAACAAAACGAGGCGGGATTGGAGGGGTTCGGGCACTGCGGATGGTGTGTGTCAGTCGAGTCGGCCGGAACAATCGGTTGGGAGGTAGAAGAGTTGCAAGGGGCGGCTTGTTCGGGAAGCAGCAGCGACAGCAGCGAAAGAAGACGACGACGACGAAGAAAGTCGATAGCGATGACAAGTAGGGTAGTGCTATGAGGGAGGAGGGAAAGGGACCGATTTGGTTTCTGCTTACCAAAGAGCAATACGAACGATGCCGCAGCGGGGAGTACTTCTAAGAGCTGGTGAGTGGGAATCGCCGGGCGGTGTCTAATGTTTGTCTGCTGAGGTGAGGTGAGGTATTAAGGTATGGCGGTGGAAATTGGTGGTGGTGTAGTGGCAGTGCTCGTTGGTGGTGGCCGTCGTGGTTCGGGTTGGCCTGCGATCAGGTTGGCCGAATGTGGGCGACCGAAGACCGGATTGGACAGGATGATGGGAAGTTGGTTGGATGACGGGACAGGCCAGGGCCTGCCTTGGGACTTGGGGTTTTAGATGTGAATACTGCGTAAGTACGTAGGTAAGATGGAATGGAAGTGGAGGGTTGAGAGGTACGGATAAGACTGGTGTAGGGTCGCAGCGGCTATCTGTATCTGCTTATCGGCCGGTGCGGGTGCGAGGGGTCTTGCTGCTGGTGCTGGGAGCTGGGAACTGGGAACTGGGTGGTATTGGCCGTGGTGATTGACGACACTTTAGATGGGGACCTGGCGGGGGGGAATGATGAAATGGCATCCATTTCTGAGGTCAAGCAACCCGGTAACAAATGATCTCTTTCTTCTTTTTCTTCCGAGAGAAATCTGCACCTCAGCTCAGTGTTCCCACTTTCTTCAGTTGCAGAATTGCAGTTGCCGTTCCAGATTTAATGCAGCATGGTCAACACATCAGAAAGATGGGAAGGAAGGTACCTGCTGCTGCTGTTCTTGCTCCTGCTGGTGTTGTACTCTCCTTCCTCGTGCTTGCCGTCAGGAGGAAAGTACTAAATCCTCAATGGAAAGAACGACGGGATGCAGTGTATTCGTACCTGCCTTACTTCACCCCTGGTATCACTACTCGGAAGGTACCTCCCTCTCGTTCCTTCCCTTGGTCGATGTCGATGACACAGCGTCCCTTCCTCCCCCACATACCCCGAAACGGACGGGAAGGAACATACCACCTCAGGTAAGGCAGCCTCGACTGCTCGTGCTCGTGCTTGACTAAGGAATAAGGCACCTTAGCGCCCTGTACTTCGTCACGCCAGCTCCTGGCTGCTGCTTCTTATCTTCATCAATGTCGATTTGCTTGTCTGTGTTTCTCTATCCCCTCCATCTTGACTATCTCACATCACATCACATCACCTCACTGCCACGGCCATCACCAGCAAACTTTCACCTCTCCATTCATCCTATCTCTCACACCAATGCTCGTCTTCTGATATCGCCTCACATCGGCCACGCTGTGACTTGCAGACAAGCTCACTCCCTCCTCTATCGTCGATCCGTCATGCTCCATCCCAGCATCTTCCCATCGCGACCCCTCCATCGTCGCCGCTCAGGACCCCCAAAACCCCCGAGGCCCTTCGCTAATCCAATCCAGCAGCCCCCAACCAACTATACGGTTGCCCCCTGCACCTGTCGCTCGTCGTGTTCCGGATTGACAACAGGGATCCCGACGCGGAATCGACGCCGGTAGGGAGACATGGACGGGAAAGAGATCCAGCATTAAAAAGGAACAACTGCCTTGCCAACTCGCTTGCCTCGTCAGGCCAGTGACAGTCCATTCATCGGATTGTTCTGTCAAGCTTCTGATGCTCCGACCAAGTCCCCAGTCCGTCGGCGCTTATACGTCAGCCATCCCGTCTACTATGACCTTACCACCAAAACACCATCCAAGTACCCCAAGTACTCGATACCTTTCTCGACCTCCAAGCCGACTTCTCTCTCTCTACTCTTCCCCTCCAAACAGGAAGGTTTGTTTCAGGAACACCAATGGGAGGCAAGCTCGGGGCTAGCTATCCACGTCACTCCTTGCACGTCAGTCCTGCACTGCACCACCGCACATCTCCTACCGAACAGCAGCACTTCACAGCACAGCACAGAACAATCACCTTCTCGACCTGGCATTCGCAAACTGCAGCGCACTGCTCCCGCCCGACTGATGCTGATGAGCTGCAACGCACCGGCCTTGAGGTCAAGTGTGACGGCGCACACTGACCTGCCCTGGGCCGCGGTGAAATTCTGCGACCCAGGCTCCGAGCTCGACATTTGACACCGTTACACCATGGCCGTAGCCGCCCACCCGCCTCGCCTCGCCTCGTCTCGCATCTTCTTCAAGCCTTCCCCGCATCGCCACCTTGAGGCTTGCCGTTTGCCGTTATCTCCCTCACAAGTCGGTTGAGAACGTCTTTACACAGCGGAAACGACGTTGGAAAAGTCATCGCTGTGGAGCTCAAACTCAAGGCAGCGGGCTCGATGACTCGAATCCCGCGTCCAAGAGACTCCGTCCGCACCTTCTGATCGTCCAGCACCACGTCCCGTGAGAACGAACCACATTCATCGGCAACAAGTCAGATGATCGAGTGACGCTCGTCCATCTCTCAACAGACATTTGCTCTGCTCTGCTCTCATTACGGCCCAGCGTCCGTATGGCCGGTGTGGATGGGACGGGACCCGGCCACTGGTGTGGCGCCGTCAGCTTGCCGCACGTGTCAAACTGCCTTGCCTAAGTCTCGCGGTAGCCGCAGGCACGACGCTGCACCGCATACCCAACGATGATGTCCACCATGGCCTGGTCGACGACGACGAAGAAGGGTAGGGGCAGGGAAGAGTCGACGCAACCCAATCAACCCGCGAAAACCATGCCCAAAATACCCCCGCGCCGCGCCTTCAACCGTGGAGTTTCCAGACTCTTGGGATGTCTTGGTGCAGGCTTTGCCGTTCGCCCGCGTTCATCCAGCGGTCTGTGCCTCCAACTTAGCGAGTCGATGTTGCCATAATGGTCCCCGTCCAATGGGGTCAGCGGGCGGTTGGAGTCTCAGACCAAGTCCCAAGTCAGGCCGCAAGCCAGCACAGCGCAACGTGAGGGGAAGCCAACAATCGACAACTCAGAGAAACCCGGGCAATAAACCACGACAGTGATGACAGGCAGCCATGAAACACTCCAGAAGGACAACAAGTCTCGAAATAAATCCAAGCCCGAAGGATTCGACCGGCGCCGCCGGTGCACGTGACATCCCTGCGCCGTGACACGCCCGGGGACGGACGAGAGTTGCCAAAATGTAAACAAAAAACCCTGGGTAAAGGGAGCCAGACCGCGTCGAGTCGACTCCACCCCGAAACCTCGAGCCCTCCTCAGGTCGACAGCCTCCGGCACGTCACAGCCCGTGGGACCTCCTCCCTCCCGTCTCTCTCTTTTTTTGCTCATCTCTCTTTTCTTTCATCTTCATTTCGTCTGTTGCTCTGACCCCAGTCGAACATCAAACCGAATGTCCCTTTTTTCCCCTTCGGCTGATGGAAGTGATCATTTCGAATTGTCTTTGTAGCCGCCCCGTCCGCGCTGGTTCTCATCCCCTGACCGCCCCATGAGCTCGGCCCTCTCTCATCAGTGCAAGAAATCATGACAGTGTATGAATTGCAACTCAAGTCCTCGCCACGTCAAACACAAGTGCAAATGAAAACGGTGTTTGAACAGTTAAATACGCCCTCATCGTTGGTATAATCGCGTGAGCTATAGTTACAGTGCTGAGGGCAGCGCCTTAAGACACGGCTTTTGAGACCGTTCCCAAAACAGACGACGCGCTGGCGCAACGCGAAAAAAAGACCTGGCATGATAAAAAGAAAAACATGAACAAGCGCGCGCAAGACACATCCCGACCCAATTGTCCCTTTCTTCCCAAATCGCACACGTCCTGGGTCCATCAACTGTGCGTGTGTAAAAGCAGAAAACCGGCGCGTCCGCCGGTTGGTTTCCCACCACCCGTCCCGGTCTCCGTTGACCATTTGTTCCCAAGAAATCGACATACTCCCGTTAACGCCGTTGTTGGATAGAAGAAAGATTCATCATCGTGGAAGAGGACCGAAGTGCTTCTATGCGGATGCGGTGGCGGCCTCGGCCTTGGTCTCCTTCTTGGTGTCCTTCTTCGCCGCGGCCTTCTTGGGGGCAGCAGCCTTCTTGGGAGCGGCGGCCTTCTTCTCCTTGGGCTCCTTGGTCTCCTTCTTGGCGGCGGCCTTCTTGGGTTCAGCCTTAGTGACGCGGCCAGTCTTGGTCTTGGAAAGAGCAGCGGGCTTCTCCTTGTCGGCAGCCTTCTCCTGGTGACATGTTAGTCATTGCATCTTGTGAGTGAGAGTGGTGAGGTGAGGACGTACAGCCTTCTTGGCGGCGGGCTTCTTGGCGGTCTCCTTCTTCTCGGCGGCAGCCTTCTTGGGGGCAGCGGCCTTCTTCTCCTTAGGCTCCTTGGTCTCCTTCTTGGCGGCGGCCTTCTTGGGTGCGGGAGCCTTCTTCTCCTTGGGCTCCTTCTCAGCAGCAGCCTTCTTAGGGGCGGCCTTCTTCTCGGTCTTCTTCTCCTCCTTCTTGGGAGCCTTCTTGGCGAGCTTGGTGCCACCAGAGGGACCTGAGTAAGTTAGTATGAGTGGCAGTGAGATGAGTTGAGTGAGGCGCCGACATACCCTTGGGCTGCTCGAAGACACCCTTCTCAACACCGGCGCGGAGGGCCTTGTTGAAGAGAGAGTCGAACATGGTGTCGGAGACGACGTTGATCTGGTTGTTGGCCTTGACGTACTTCTTCAGGGCCTGGCGGGAAGATCCATTGCGCTCCTTGAGCTGTGAGGGAAAGACGTGTCAGTAAAGAGAGTCGATCTTAAAATGGTTCGCCATATGGTAGGCGGCGGTGGGTGGTGCGAAGCAAAAGTCACGGGGTCGAGGCGGGCGGGGACGTTGAGGTCCCCAGCCCACGACAAGCGCGGTCGCGTAACCCTTTGCGCCGGAGCGAGGGGAGCGGTAAAACGTACAGCAACAATAGCATCAGTGATCATGTCCTGTGAGTAGTTAGCAAAGATGCGCCTTGGAAAAAGACCGGGTGAACGGGGTGACGAACCTGGTAGCTGGCGTGGGAGGCCTTCTTGGGAGCGGCGGCAGCGCCCTCGGTCTTCTTGGGAGGCATTGTGATTTGAAGGGGGGGGTTTGTTGTTTACGAGTGGGGTAGAGGGTGCAAATGTGCGGATGCAATCGAAAAGGCGATTGAAGTCGATGAAGTGAATCGAGGAATCGAAGGTATCGAGGAGGATTGACGCGTTTGGTTTGGTTTGTCGAGGAAGAGAGATCGGGAACGAGAGGGGGGGAGAGAGCGCGTGCGTGGAGGGGACGGGGCTTGTTTTTATAAATGAGCGGGGGCAGTTGGACGTGGTGCGCAATCAGTAACTTTTTTTTGGTTTTTTTTTTCTGGCTTGGGGTCTTGGGCTTGGAGCCTACCTGGGGGGTACCGCCCACCACCCACCATCAGCCAGTTTTTGGGCACACAGCTCCCGCTCTTCCCCCCCATCCACATCCCCCAAATCCACCAAAGCCCGCGTGGTTATTTTAGCGAATGGACCAGTGACCACAGACGGATGGAAGAAGAAGACGGGAAGATGAAGACGAAGAAGACCACCCACACCAAATAAAGATGCACCTGCCGCACCTACCTTACCTGCCTTACTAGACTCAACGGGGAGCCATCCAGATTGATTCTAGACTGCAGGTGCGGGCAGTCAAGGCAGGCGAAGACGAGTAGGGTTCTTTCCGTGCTTTCCATCTGGGTCGATCAGGTAGGGCAGCAGCAGCAGCAGCAGAGGCAAGTGCGGCAGAGCCCCAGCTTCCGTGCTTTCCTTGCCTGCCCTACGCACCTCCTCGTCCCTCCTTCCCATCTTCTTCCACATCTCTCCTTCTTCATATCTCATGTCACTTGCTCTTTCTCTTTTGACTGCTGGTCAATGAGCTCCTGCTTGGAAGAATTAAGATGTGGTCCACGTGTTTCTTGATTCAGCAGGCGCGTGTATCCGTAAGGTAGAGGCAGGTCCGGACGGGCAGGCTTTCCTCTTCGTCCCTTCTGCTCCTGCCATCTTGAAGCCGTCTATCACTGCTGTACTTGTGAAATATCTTCGTGCCCTTGTGACATGACCAAACGTTTCCCTTTCCCAACTCCAAAGTGGCGATGAAGACGACATCATGCGTGGCACATGACATGGCAGCCGGAGAAACAACACAACAGACCATCTCAAGCTCCGGGTTTGGACGCGTCGCATGAAGCTCCTGAAGCTTCTGTCGTCTCTGCTGTCACACCCTGGACGGAAACCCCTCGCCCCTCTTGTCTCCCCCTCAGGCTCCTCAGCAGCTCGGCTCCCTGTAAGGACAAGGACGAGGACAACCTGCAAGCCCAGGGTCCCGTCATCTTCTGGTGCTTTTCCACGCTCCCGAGTCCCAGGGGACCACTACGGCACTGCCGCGGCTGCGTTCCCGCCAAACAAACGCAAACACCACTGCTCCTCTCCGCTAATGAGAAGCCAGATCACACCCAAGATCAGTCCATGTCAGTGGCCCTACCTGCCCGGGTGGTCTAAGGTGTTGGGGTCCCCGTCGGATCTAACGTCCAGGTAAGCGCGAGATGGTTCCTTCCCTTCTCCAGTGCAACTTCAGGGCCTCCTTCCACGCCACGCAAAAGGTACAACTCACAAGTACCTTTGCCATTTCCCATTTTCCTTCCTTTCCCTTCCTTTCGTCGCATTAAAATAAAATGCTGTTTCTCATGTCGTTCATTTTTCTGATTGGCCAGCTTTTCTCCAGATCGTCTTCTTCAGTCTTGGACCTTGCAATTGGTCTCTCCGCCAGAGTTGAGGCCTGTCACAGCTCACTCTCACACTCAGTCACTCACAGAGCACCTCTCTGCTCTACGCCGAGTCTGCTCTACGCCGAGCTCTGATCCGGCACCTTCGCCATTCCCACCCAACTCGTTCTCATCGCCCACCTCAACCACCCTTCTTGTTCCTCCTCTTCTCGCTCTTCTTTTCCTTCTTTTTCGCTTCTCCTCACCCTCCATCATCAAAAATGACTCATTGCTTGCGTCCATTGCGTTTTTGAGCCCTGCTTCCTCCCTCCCACACCCTTCCGCCCCGGCCCCAACTTTCCTCGCGATCCAACGCCTTTCCCTCGCCGACTTGCCCATTTTCGCCGCTTCGTCGTTCCATCCCGTCAACCACCTCCATCAGTCGCATTCGGCCTGCCACCTCGCACATCCGGTTTCATCCCAATCCGACCCCATCATCGTCTTGCCCGAATTTTTCTCCATCGCCTGATGCGCTTTTCCTCCGCGTTGCAGCGCGTTCCGACCCGGATATCGCGCCCTCCGCTCCGGGCGGCCGTCCAGTCCGTGATTCGGTCGCGCGATGCCGAATTGAAGCTATCCGCACATCTTGCACCACCATCGCCCAACCGCCAACAGCACACTTCTTTCCATCTAAAAAATGCACTGACCCATCGTCTTGGTCGACGATCTGCTCGCCCATATTTTTTGTGAATTTGTGGCATTTTTCCTGCCCGATTTGACTTACACCGAGTTTCGCGAGTGCAGCCCCTCTCCGAGGCCACGATCGCGTCACGCGACCGATGAAATCTCTACGTGAGAAGTGCACACGTGCCTGTCGACACATTTGCCATCAGCCCCGACTGTCGCGGCTGGTGGCGATTAAAGACTGCGAGCTCTTTCGCCTGACATCATTTTTGAACTTCCAACTGCGTTTCCCGAGCTCGCAATGCTCTTGGGAAGTTGCAGGATCGAATCGGTGCGATGGAAGCTATTCGCATTTCACCACCTTCCAGTCCAAACAGCCACGTCCACCACCGCATATCCCTCTTGAGCGACTCAAAGCCTTCTTTTCATGTTCATAAACTCAATATCTCGCACCATGTCGATTTTTGAGGCTTCATACCTGCGATGCGACTCTCAAACGCCAGCACAAGTCCGACGCATGCATACCCAATGTGGAGGAGAACACGTGTGTCCAGTCACCGTCCCTTCTCTGCCCTGACCGACAATCCTCCCTCACTTTGAACAGCTCACGTTGCAAGACAGGATCCTGACTCCGAATTGAGAACGTCTCAATAATGAATTCAGGTGTCATTTCGAGTTCAATGGCAACATGAGATCTCGCGCGGAACACACTCGGCGACCCCGCGAAACCGCGCCTCAAGCGAGCGAAGCGAAAAAGGGCGCTTCGGACCGCACGTCATCCAGCGCTCACCTCATCTTTCACCCGCGACTTGACCGAGAACCCTCGCAACTCATTTTCTGAGACGCAAACCGGATCAATCATGATATTTCGTTTATCTTAACTGCAGACTCTTGAGACTGGCATTTTCACCTCCAGAATAGCATGCTGACCTGCTTCGCGAAAGCAAGGCCGGGGAAACTCGGGCTCAGACACCCCAAACTCTCCACCGCTCTATTGGTAGTCCCCTTCATATCGACGACGAGACAACTTCAAATACCCAGCAATTCACAATTATAGGATGTCACATGAAATGGTATTTCTCGAGCTTTCTAAGCAGTCCTCACTTCAGCACAACCATGCGTATGAAGAGCAGCGGTCAGCCTGGGGAATAGGCAAATTGTAACCAGCGGCCAACGCCGACCCCTCTCCGTACCCAACACGAACCTTCACAAATCCCGCAGAGTAGAAAAGAACGTTACGCAGATTTTGCATCTCGAACTTCAATCACGAACCCATCTCTTTCTTGTGAACCGTTAACAAGCAAGCGTTGCTCAACGTCAAGAACCACAGATCATACGCGCGCCGCTCCTTTTACCGCCGCCCGCAGTCTGACCAGCAGACGTACGTAGGTAGACGTGCGTCAGGTCGGCAGGCGGCCCCTCTCTCCATCGCTCCCCTCCCAGATCCGGAAAGTGGGTCTTGGGAGCTATGACCACCTGAGGAGAGCTCTCGCTCGCAGCTCCGGGGGGTCCTGCCTTGCCAACTTGCCTACCAGGCGGCGGGCGGCGGGCGCGCGGGCGTTGGTTTGGTTCGTGGTTCAACTCGTGGTGTGTTCACATTCCCCACTCCGCGCGCGGCGGGGGCACCAACTCAGACAAGCATCCATTGATTGGCTCTGACCGACCGTTTCTGGGGGTCTCACACCGAGGAATTGGCGGGTGTAGTTCGGTGAGAGGGCGGTGTAGACATGGGTTTGGTTTTTAGATGAGGATGACACCCGACCGATGCTGTGATGAGACTGATAGCACTCGAGCAAGTACGGAACAAAACAAACACGCGTCTGTATTCTGAGAGCAATAATTAAATCATTTAATAGGAGGTTAATAGAGAGGAAGATGGAGAGGCAAAAAGTCGCGACACCTTCATAGTCAATCACAACCCCAGCAGCATCCCCAGCAAAGGCACGACCACTCCAACCCGACGCATAAAAAAACCAAACATAACAAAACACCAAAAAAGCCAAAAAAAGAAAAGAATGCGGTTCTCCCCTTCCAGAATCGAACTAGAGACCTTTCGATGACAATGTAACCATTACAGTCGAACGTGATGAACCAACTACACCAAGGGGAGGAACAGGGCAAGAGCCCCGCTTGGTGGATGCCGATTCTGCGCAAATTTGATTTTATAAAGGCTTGGGCTCAGAGGGGTGCGCAGGGAACCCCCCACGCGCCCTGCGAACCGGCAGATGGAAAGGGCGTGCTCCAACGGCAGTGGGCTCCGCTTCGCGCAACGTTGCCGACGGAAGCCGGGTTTCTTCATTGCTCCATCATACCCTCGCCGAGGAAGAAAATTGTCAATTTTTTTTTTCCCCTTCGTCTCAGTTTCTCTTTACTTGTATTCCCCGTTGCATTTCTTGTTTTTACTTTTCTCATCTAAACACGGAATACATTCTACAAAAATGCGCGCCCCAACCGCCCTCTCAGCCCTCCGCCGGCCCGGTCCCGGTCTCGGTCCCCTCTCCCGCCGCGCCTTCGGCACCACCGCGGCGCGCCGTAACAACAACGGCGCGGCGGCGGTGAACCCGCGATGGCTCTCCGAGCTGCAGGCGCGCATCGGGCGGTGCGCCGCCCTCGATCTCGGGCCGGAGCAGAGGCGGGAGCTGGAGGCGGTGCGGGAGACGGTCGACGGGGCGTGGTTGGAGCTGGTGGCCGGGCGGGAGGGGTTCCTCACGGGGCCCGGTTGGAGGGGGTTGGATCGGCACACGGTGACGTGGGGGGATCAGGTATGTTTTGTTCGCTCTGAGCTTTTTGAGATTTGTTGAGAGGTTGATTTCTGACGATGAGGTGTAGGATGCGATGGTGAGTTCTGGAAGATAATGGGTGTGTGAGAAGAGGAGGCGGGTGACTAACACGGCTCCAGGGTAAATACACGAAACCAATCTCACCTCGCAGGGTGATGAGACGATGAGGTCTAACGACGGGAGCAGGACACGTGAATAATGTCGTGTACAACAAGTACGCCGAGTCGGCGCGGGTGAACTGGCTGCGCAACTTCGCGACGGCGGTGGACCCGGCGCACGCGGACGAGTGGAACGAGCTGATGACCCCGCGGGGCATCGGGTTGATCATGAGGAGCATCAGGACGGATTACAAGTTCGTGAGTCACGCCCATTCATACAATCCTCATCTCGCTTCTTATCCATTCGAGGCCTTCTCACCGCCAATGACGAAACGAAATGAGATGAGATCGGATTGCTAACAACCCTCCCACAAGCCCATGGCCTACCCGGACAACGTCACGGTGCTCCACAAACTCGCCTCCAAACCGACCTACGAATCCGACCACATCCTCCTCGAGGCCCTGCTCGTCTCGGACCGCCATCGCCGGCCCGCGGCGCGCTGCTTCGAGGACATCGTCGTCTACGACTACAAGACGGCCCGGCGCGCGCCGCTGAAGCCGTTCATGGTCGACCGGCTGCGCGAGACGTACGAGGCGCAGGAGAGGGGGAGGGAGGACTGCGAGGAGAGGGTGAGGGGGCTTGTTGGGGTCGTGGAGAGGATTGAGAGGGCTGCTTGATCGGGGCGGATGCCTTTGCTGGTGGTCGTGGAGAGGAATTATTTGGGGTGTGAGAGAGGTGTGCATAGACTTTAGATATAGACCTCGCATAGAGGATGAGAAAGTAGAGTAATGAGACGCGACGCGGGTTTTGGTTCTGCGGGATCGGCCGGAGAGTCGAGTTGTGCCGGCCGGGTTTACTGTGGATCATGTCGCACGACGTCGCCGGCGTGTTGCGACCCCCCACCTCGTTAGCGGCCACACTACGTACCGTCATCTACTTGCTTCAACTCACTACCTCCTACGGCCTCATTCAAGTGTAAAACTCAGTCACCATGGGCAGCATCTCATTCCGCGAACACATCCGCTGGATCCCCGACGAGGCCAGCGAGCCAACGTCCACGATCGTGCTCACGTCCCCGCAGCGCCGGTTCGTGGATCTCCGCATCTTGAAGTCGGGGCCGAACGCGGAGGGTGAGTCGTCGTCCACCTCCCCCTCTTCCATCAACTCCGACCTCTGCGCAGAATGCCGCACAAATCATCTCAGATAAACACCAGGCGTGATTGATACAACAACAAACACTGACCACAGCCCGCAGGATCACACGGCATCGAGCGCCTGGAATGGGGCATCGCAGGCACCTCCTCCTCCTCGCTCATCCCGGACGGCAAGGGCGGCGAGGTGCGGCACTCGCGCTGGGACCACTGGATCGACTCGCGCACGACGGAGCCCGAGAAGGCCGGCGACGAGGGCGACATGTACCCGCAGCCCGGGGGCGACCTCACGCTGGAGAAGGGGCGGATGGTGAACCCCGCCACGGGGCGGGAGTGCGACTACGAGGAGCTCTGGAGGGACGTCGATCCGCAGCCTGCTTCCGCTGCTGCTGCTGCGCCGGAGTGCGTCGTGCTGAGGTTCGAGGACGAAAGTCGCGCGGCGAGGGGCGTGGTTGTGTGGTTGGGCCGGTTCTGTCAGGGGATCTCGCGGGTCGGGGGGGATGTTGTCGCGGAGAGGTGGGAGTGGAAGGGGGAGGACGCCGGGTGGGTGAGGACGGTCGGGATCGGGGCCGAGGGGGCGCTTCCGTGTGAGGTGCTGTTGAAGACCGGGGGTGGGTTGGGTGTTGGGGCGCATGTGAAGCATGGGGAGGTTGTTTGGGATGTTCTTGAGAGTAGTGCGTAAGGGAGACGGGTATCCTAGATTGTTCCGAGCCGTCATAAGATACTCGTTCTTCGCTTGTCATATGGGATGTTGAAATGTCCGAGGAAAGTCATGGGCTAGGGGCTCGGAATATCACTTGACTTCCCAACGTTGCCAATGTTAACGATGCCGAGCTGATTATGGTTCATAACATGTAAGCTGAGCTTGTTCTTGCTCATCGCTCTTGGAAATACATCGCTGGTTGTCCTTCCAACAAATGTCCACACGAAAGATATCCAATTTCCCTCCCTTTTCCACCTTAAAGAAACCCCACCAAGATGGATATCACCACTTGATCGGTATTATGCTATGTTCAACAACCTCGCTTTACATCCTCTCGGGTATGAGCAGCTTTATAGGCAACACAGGCGCCGCGTCCGCGTCGTTACCATTGGTCAATAACTCCGGATACAGGGTCGGAACGTCACTCTTTCGCAAACTCTCGATCGAGGCCTCAATTTTCTCCAAGAACAACCAGTTCCTCGCATCATTCTCCTCATACACCACCTGATCCCGATCGACCTTGAGAAGCCTGACACCGCTGGCGCAGAAAACGCCCTGCACCTCCGCGCCGGGACGGAGGCGCGCCTTGCAGTCGATGAGGTACACGTCGATATTCGGCCCGCCTTGTAAGAAGTGGATCAAGGCAGCGCGAAGAGCAAGGCAGAGATCACGAACGAAAGAGGTGGCGGCGCCGGGCTCGTCCGCCCGCGAGCCGCGCGTCCACGGCCAGTCGCCGTCGATCTCGAAGGCCATCTGGTGCCTCACCTCGGAGCCGGGGCTGTCCGCCGCGTCGTACCACCCCCGGTGGCAGAGATACGTCATCGTCCTGACCGCATCGATTTTCGAAAGCGCGGGTACCTGGAAGCAGAAGAGGTCGCGTACTGGAAAGTGGACAGAGACTTCAATGTTGCGGCCGTCTCGGTCGGTCCTGATGAGCGGAGCCATGGCGTGCGGCTTGGTCCGTTGAGCGGCGAGGCGCCGCGCAGACTGCGTCTGAATCACGGCGCGCGATTCCCGATTCGCCGCCCACAGGCCGGCGTCCGTCCGCCAGCTCGAGGGGTCGTGCTGTAGGTTGAGCGAGCGGGCGACTTCGGAAGACGTGGTGGGTACGACGGCGAGCGGGTGGAAGCGTCCTCTTGTGACGGTCCCGTCGGGAAATCGTTTCTCGTTGCAAGAAACATTATGCTGGACGGAGACGAAATGAGCACCTGGCACGTCTGACTCTGATCGGAGAACCAGCTCCCAGATCTGGAGCCTTATCTCGGTAGGGAGCCTGGGGAACGGGTGGAATTGGCGGGTCATGTTGAGTGTTGTTGCTGATAACGCGGCTGGCTTTGATCGAAGAGCTGACTTCGAGATGTGAAGGCTTCTCTTGGGAGGAAACTGAGGGAACAATAGGTGATATTCGGGGTGATACCGAGTATCCCTGTTGTCCAATATGGCTATACAGCTGTGGTCAAACGTAGGTGATTGCAAATTCCTTCTTCCAATCGTTCATTGGAGAAACAAGAGCCCCCTCTTATAAAAACTTTCAAGGTGTAAACTCCATTAGAAACAGCCGCAAGGGTGGCTTTTCGAGTTTTAGACTCGTGGACCATACCAACCATGAACTCTCCAAGGCGGTTGGGAACTCTATCTGTACCAGAGTGGGTACAAATACTCGATCATCTGCAATGTTGTTATGAACCGTAAGGTGAATCTTTTCTTCTGTACCACCAAGTCTGAAGAAACGCGAAAAACACCACCTCGACACCTCAAAGACACCGGAGAACAGCGGAAGATAACGACGTTAACGATACTGACAAGCGTCAGAGAAGAGAAACATACACCACCTGGACGGCTTTTTCTTCCAGATCCTCAGGTTGAAGAACATACCGGCTTTATCCATAGCACACTACGAATCCCGAAGCTTAGCATCTTCTTAGCCCGATAATAGTTCCAGGGCAAAAACAGAACGAACTTTTTCGAGATGGACAAATTTCACGAGACCCAGCCGGAGGATCTTTCCTACATCGACAATATGGAGCTGCGGCACACACTCTTCGAAGAATTGCAGACAATTCGTCTCCGGGTAATGGGCAATATCTCTCCGTGGACGTGTGTGAGGCGTGAATACATCACGAAGGCCGTTTGGGCTGCTTTCTGGGTCACACCCATCGAGACGATACAAAATCTCATGAAGGACATGAAGGAGGGCATGCTGTCCCACGATCTTTTGCATACAATCTTGAGTTCGTTGCAGGAGTATGTACCAATGTTGATAAGGATCGGTAAGTGAAGTGCGTGCGACTGTACTCTCCTCTCCAAGCTAATAAGAGAATCAGTCCTAGGAAGGAACCCGGGAAACGCGTCGGCGGCCGCTTGCAAAGAGTCTGAATGCATGTGGTCAATGCTGGGCCTGCTTTGGGGAGACAAACTCGTCGACGACTTCAGATCTGCGCTCAGCGTCGATAAACTGAACAGCCCCGTCAATGTAGTCGCGATGGATCCTAATGTGCGTTATTTGTGGGCGAAGGCGAAATTATCCATCGAGCCTTACGACTGGGACGATCGTTCCATCCGGCTCAAGCTTCGATTTCTGAAAAAGTCCAAGCTGGAGAAGACTCGCCATGGTCGGGAGAGGTTTCCTTGGAGGAACGACCTGGCAATGAAGCCCACCGAGATCGTCGAGGATATTTTTGGCGGAGGCCACGCGGAAGATGATCTGGTGTACGAGGGCACGCAGCAGCCTATTCGAGACGGAGATGTCTTTGAGTACAGAGTAAACGATCCCGGGTGTCGTTTGGATCCCCGCCTGTTGTGTCTTTGGCACAAGGTTAGCGTGATGGCGTCATTGTTGGGTTGCGACGAGCGCGATGAGCAGGCCTGTTTGGAGTTCGCTCAAGGCTTGGCCGATAAGATCGAGGAGGAAAAGGTTGAAGAAAATGAGAAACGTGAAGAGATCGTAGGTGTTTGGAAGGACGAGACAGCGTGGATGAGAGGAGTGTATGAGACGGAAGGGGGTGAAGAACAGATGGGGGCTTCTGACTAACCACCTCGTCCCGTCAGACATAGGCTGCGAGGGCACTAGCTAGGAAGTATTCATACACAAGACACCATATGTACTTGGTGACTTAGCAATTCAATCAAAGTACGGTTTTCTCTAGCTACGAACAGAAATCAGAAGGATTGAGATCAACACGCTGGTTTGGTAACCAAAAAGGGTTCTGTATAAAATACAGAATGCGGAACTTATTAGTAAGTTCAATTTACAAACCCTACATCTATGCTCCCATCTCGTATTCGCCGTTGTGGCACAGTACGCTTTCTTAATGTTGGGGCGTTCTTATTATTGCACTTGAGCAGAGTCAAGATGCTTTCGCAATTCTTTCGACGGTCAGAAAAACCTAGGTGTGACGCATTTAAGACAAGATCGCTGGACCATCGCGTAGACCTTTTCGACCTAACATTGAATGACACTGACTTCCGGCATCCGGTTCGTCGGAACCCCACGCAACTCAAATCAATGAACTCACTCAAATAAGTTGTGATGAACACCCACCCGCATCCGCATGGTAGTCTCCGTTCGACTTACTCCTCGAAAGCAACATCTACCCATATCAGGATCGATCCATGTATACATCTTCAATTTCAGTTGAATGCGTCAGCCTCCATCACTCTCAATAGGATCCACTTAGACTTCCAGGCTGACATGTCTCCGCCGCTCAAGTATTATAGTGCAGTTTTGGCAACACTTCAAACAACCAATCAGATCCACTGGATCACCTACGGAAGGGTGGCCGAGTTGGTTATGGCGCCAGGTTAAGGTCAGCTTAACATCTGTTTCCTGGTGGGGCAACCCGCGCGAGTTCGAGTCTCGTCCCTTTCATTTTTCTTTTTTGAACATTTAACTGTTAAATCGACGCGTCAACGAGCTTCGGCAGGTTGTCTACAGTATTCTGAGGGCCTGGTTTCTCGGGGTTTTTTTTTTTTTTTTTTTTTGGCTTTCAAATAGTTGAGATGTAATTAAATATGAGAGGGTATCTGCAACTTCAACTGTGACTCCAGGACAGTTTCTTCCGGGTTCGGACTTTTAGACTATCATCATTCACCGTTCTATTCCCTTCATCAGATGGTGTACCGGAACCTCGGACTCTCGTCGCCCAGCTCGGCAAGCTCATCATCAGACATATCACGGTACTTGTCCTCCGCAAGACCGGCTCCTCGCCGCTTGTTGGCCCTCCAGTACCAGAACCACATGAAGCCGTACAGACAGGTGCCCATGGCCACCATGCTCAACGTGACCGCATGGCCTCGAATATACCTCGGCCTATCAATCGCTTGGCTGTTCCGTCAAGTCAGCTTCTGGTCGTCGCCCAGCTCTATGCCTCGGGGCACACTCACTAGATGAAAGACGACATGACGCCGGAACAGTTACCAATCGTCAGCTGCATCCCGCTGGCGGTCGTCCTCTTGCCATATCTCGGCGAGTTATTCGGCAACTATCGAGCATCACGTCAGTCGGCCCCGCGAGAAACCCCAAGCAAAAGACAAAACGACTCACCCAAGCCAACGGCAGCCCGACAACCACGTACAACCCCGCCGCCACGAGGAAGCACCCAAAGTAATGCACCCCCGACGACGTATCCGAGACGAGGATCGCGTACCCGACGACACTGACCGTCCCGAAGACCACGCAGAACAGCCCGCGCATCTGCTTCCGGTCCGACAGGAACGCCATCGTCATATACACCACCACGCCCACGAAATAACACGGCACCGTCAACAACTGCACCTGCGCGACGGTCCACGTCCCGAGCCCGTTGATGATGGTCGGCAGGAACGTCGAGAAGCCGTACAGCATGGTATCGACCCCGAACTGCGCGACGCAAAAGACCCAGACCTTCCAGTCGCAAAAGGCCTTCCACATGTCGCCCCTGCTGAACTCCTGCGCGCTGCTGGTGCTGCCGTACTCGCGGCGGCGGCGCGAGACCATCAGCGCGCGGTCCTCGTCGTCCAGGAAGCGGGCGCCGGCCGGGTCGTCGGGGAGGAGGAAGAAGGTGGCGACGCCGAGGACGACGGTGGGCAGGCCCTCGATGATGAGGATCCAGCGCCAGCCGCTCATGCCGGCGACGCCCTCCATGTGGCCGATGCCGTAGGCGAGGAGGCCGCCGAGGCCGCCGGCGATGGCGGCGCTGACGAAGAGGTAGCCCACCCTGAGGGCGAGCTCGTGCTTGCTGTAGAAGAAGGTGAGGTAGACTGTCAGGCCGGGGAAGAGGCCTGCTTCGACTGCGCCCTGTGAGATGGTATGTGGTTAATTACTGTCGTGAACTTCTTCGTATAGGAGGACTGTGTAACAGTCGAGGGGTGTTTACCAAGAGTAGACGGCACGCGATGAGCGAGCCGTAAGATTCGACGAGGCCGGTCAGCGTGGCGATGATGCCCCACGCGACGGTGATGAAGGCGATCCAGCGGCTGGGGGTGAAGAGCTTGAGGACCAGGTTGGAGGGGACCTCGAAGATGATGTACGTCACGAACAGGATCGACACGGCGACCTGGAACTGGTTTCCCTCGAGGCCCAGGTCTTCTTCGAGGTTGTACAGGCGGGCGTTGCCGATGTTGACGCTCAGTGAATGTCAGGAACACACGCACACTTTGATCACGCCGAGGTACATCCAAGAACTCACCGGTCTAGGAAACTCAAGAGGTACAGCAGCATCACGAGGGGGATGATGTGGATATCCAGCTTTCGCACCAGCCGCTTCTCCTTCAGAGCGAGGATGTCGTCGTCGATGGAACTCAAGTCCGGAGTGTCGAGGTCGGGCGAGCTCGCGCCGGCGCCGGCGCCGATCTCCTCGGCGCGGTCCTTGTTGGAGGTGTCCATGTCTGTCGCGGGCGCTGATACGGCGACGGGGGACGGGGAAGTCGAAGGCGGGACCGAAGGGCCGCCGTCTGCTCGATTGCAGACCGGGAATACCCCGCGTTGATGAAGCTAGATTATGCGATCTGCAAGTTGCGATCAAAGTTTGAGTGAGATATGCGAACGATTCGAAACCGAAGTTGAGGATGCTCCCTTGACTTCCAGCACGGATCAATCGACGAAAGCGCAAAGGGATTGCGACGATGACGACGAGGGAGCCGGTAGGCGGGGTGTTGCGCCGGTATTATCGGCGGCGCATCGGACGATAAGAGTTTTTTCGGCGTGAATCAAAGCCTCTTCCCCCTCCAGTTCCTAAGTCGGCGGGGTTGCTTAGAGAGAAAATGGCACGATGGTTGAACTACTACCCGCTTTAGAACTAGAGATGTTGAAAAGGACACTTGCACGAGTCAGAATGGCATGTAGTAGTTTCGTCCAAAGTAAACACCGGTTAGTTGAAGAAGCAGAAACTCGATGGAAACAACAATCGAGAAAAGCACATGTCTTTCAATCATCCAGGTCACTCCCTCTCTTCACTTGCTCTCGCCCCCACTCCAGAGACAAGAGAAATCGCAGATAAGATCCTGACTGCAGCAGCAACAGCATTGCCTAGGGTCTGGAACGGCTCGGAGCTGCGGGCTAGGAGAAGGACAGAAACAACCGGGGCAGGGGTGTTGTTTGGTTGAGCTTACGTAGGTTTTTTTCTTGCCTCTCGCTCTCTAGCATCCGCCGCCGTTGCACCGGAAGCCCCAGTCCGTAGGAGATACCCGACATGGTGTTACCGCCCGGAGGGAGGGAGGGATGGGTCAGGTTGCTTGCTTATCGATAGTTCCTCGCAGCCGTTGAAGAGAATGTTGCGTCTGGGGGGGTGGGCGATTGTGACGTCTTGGCTTTGCGGAGTTTTATCGCCGATGATCCAACTTTCGGAACTTGGGGTTCTGGAAACTTACAAATACCTTTCCTTACCCGAGCATCACCACCTCCATCGTGGTTTGATCCGCGGATTACGAAGGGTGCGGGTGCTTATGAAAGAGACAAAGCCGCGGAACTCATTCAGAACCGACGAAGGAGTCAGTCCCGGTCTCAACCTCTTCTTCCTCGGTCATCGTCTAGAGACACCAAGGCTTTGTTTTGTACTCTCGATACAACAGGTACACGACCAAGGCCCGACGATACATCGATTACAGGCTTGGCGCTTGCTGTCAAATGGCCAAGGATGGGGGTTGATATCACATCACACACACAAGAGAGGCACAGAAACGCCGCGCAGGATTTCTTAAGTGGCCTATCAGTCAACCAACCATCGGGAGAAACATGCCGATCCGGGGCTGGTTTGATATCTTTCACGTCGAACAGGGAAACGTGAAAAACTTGGGATGAACCGCGGCGGCTTTCCTACCGGGATTGACCTACTTGTTACTCAACTGGCGGGAACCCTCAGTCATTGTCAACTCAATTCTATTCCATCCCGCCTCAGAGCTCGTTTCCCCAACGAGTCCAACTATGATGCCGAGACTGGACTGATGGATGGACGTAGTGCCAAGTGATAACGCGCGCGAGTGAGACCGCGGGATGCGCGTCCTCACACAGGCTTACGCTCAATCGACTCTCACAGGCGCAAATATGCAAGCCATGCGCGATGTGCGTTGCGCCGAGCCTTCTCCCACCGGCGGAGCTAGAGACGCACATCATCGTCGACGTCACAGGTCAACTGAGCATTAAATACCCTCTCGGTCTCGGACATCTTCACATAAAGCGATTAGTTTCTCTTAGATTTTGAAAATCTCACGACACTGTATTGTCTGTCTCGACTTCCCCTCGTACACATTACGAAGATTATCTACCTAGATGAAGAAAGTGTTAAAAAAAATCACGTTATATCCTTCAATATGTCTCGACAGCCTCGTCTTGCTGTCCCGTTCTTCCTGTCCATCCGACCGCCCGCCAGCTCGTCTTTTCTAGAAAAGAGAAAATGCCGAGGTTCAATGCAACGCTTTCAATGTCAAACCCAGACCCCGTGTGTCCTATATACGTACACCCTTCATCTTTTAAACCCGTACAAATGGAAAAACACAATACACATTACCGATACCTCTCGGTAGGCATCTCGTAGACGTCGGACACCGGCCCGGACTGGAACGGCTGCCGACCGGGCTGCTGGGGCGGCGGCGGCGGCGGCGGCCGGGGCTGTCCGTCGCCCATCTCGACGACCTCGTCGCCGCCCATCTCGGGCGGGAGGATCCTCGTGTCGCCGAGCTCGTTGGCGCCGTTGGCGGGCGGTCTCGCGTACGGCGAGCCGTAGTCGCTCGCGGGGGAGACGTGGTTGTTCGACATGGGGCTGACGCTCTGCGTCGGCGGCGAGAGCTGGCTGCTCTTCCGGGGCACCGGCTGGCGTCTGTGTGTGGGAGTTGTCGCCGCGACGGCGGCGGCACCGAGGCCGGCTCCCGTCTCCGACATGCCGTGGCCGCGACCGCCGTGGTCGAAGGACGAGGGCCCATTGGGGTCGTAGGCGCGCATGTCGGCCAGGTCGGCGGCGCTGGGGCGGTTGGCCTTGTGGCGCTTGTAGAGCCACCAGCCGACGCCGATGAGGAGCGCGAGACCGACGACGCCGACGCCGGCGCCGATTCCCGCCTTCGCGCCGGTGGAGAGGCCGCTGTCGCTGTTGTTGTTGTCGCTGCTGGCGCCGCCCGTCGCGGAGGAGCCGGAGTCGGTGGCCGTGGCGATGTTGTTGCCCGTCGGGCCGACGTCGACGGTGGTGGGCGCGGCGGTGTCGATGGAGGTGGAGGTGACGATGAGGGTGGAGGTGACGGTGATGGTCGTCTGGGCGTTGTTGAAGACGGTGCTGACGATGGTGGAGGTGCGGACGAGGTTGGAGGTGGTGGTGCGGACGACGGTGCTGGTGCGCAGGTTGGTGACGGTCGCGTCGGCGGCGGCGGTGCCGGAGACGGTGACGGTGACGGTGACGATGGCGCGCTTCTCGATGAAGGCGTGCTTGCGCAGGTCGCCGGCGGCGGGGGTGATTTCGGGTGCGAGGGCGTCGACGGGGGCGGTCTCGGCCGGGAGGAAGTTGAGCCAGCGCTTCGCGAGGACGGTGGATGTGACGTAGTTGGTCAACGTGGCCGTGGCGACGTCGTTGCTCGTGACGGTGGTCGTCTCGAAGGTAGTCGTCGTGACGACGACGGTGGTGATGACTGTGCGGAGGACGTTGGAGGTGACGGTCACGGTGCCTCCTCCGCCGCCGCCGCCCGCGGTGACCGTCTCCGTGATCGTCGTCGTCGCTTCCTCGGCGGCGCTCGTTGTCGTCGGGGTCGTGACTACCGGTGGTGTCGTCGAGGTTGGTGTCGAGCCCGTGCCTGAACCCTGTCTGGGTTTGAGGCCGGGCATGGGTCTGGCATCGTCGTCGGCGAGCGGTGATGCCGTCGCGATGTTGCTGCTGCCGAGGGACCAGAGCAGGGCCAGGAGGCCGGCTGATCCGAGACGCATTGTGGCGATGGAGTCGCTCTACGGCGAGTAGAGCACCTTGAAGCTAACAAAGGAGAGATCCAGTCGTATGGATTGTTATTGGGAGAGTGTAGAAAATACAGAAGAGCGAGAAAGACAGTGGAGAGGCCTTGGAGGGAGGGAGGCCGAAAAGAGAATGTGTGTGCCACCACGTCGAAACACGATGGAATGGAAAAGCTCGTAACCGTCAGTCACAGGAGCAGACACACAATAAACGGTTCAATTACGAGAGAGGAGGTACGAGGAGAGAGAGCGATAGAGAGAGACCTGACCTGACCTGACCCTGACGGAGGGTGCGGCAAGAGAAGCAGATGCAAATGCGGTCTAGTCGAACCCTTGCGTGTACTAGTGGCTGTACATCACTCTCTCTGTCTGTACGTATCTTGTAATAAATCTCCAATCTACTTGAACAATCGACGAGCCACCAGTTCGCCGGTCTGCGCCAACCGATGCTAACAGGAAAGCCACTCGTAATAGCGTCTCCAGAATGGTGGCGCGGCGGATGTTTTCCCTTTGCAATTTTTGCGCTGTTTTTCACGAAACGGATGCCCCCTCTTCCAATGCGCCCGCCCCGTCCTCGCTCGCCCTTTGCTCGCGCCCTCTTCCGTCTCTCCGGAGGTTCCTCACGTCCCATATCCACCGTCGGAGTCTGGAGAGGAAGCCGACGGGCTAGTATAAAAAGGACATGTCAAATGAAAAAAACAGTGGACTAGATGGGCCACAGAGGAATTAACCTCCCAAATGGCAGGTGGTTGACATGCGAAAGGGAACGGAAGATGGCTGTGAACCAGGGGTATCTCGGGTACTGCGTGATCTATCGGTAGGGACATGCCTGACTGGGAAACACAATGACACAACTGCACCAAAGAGAAGAGTGGCTGGTAATGACATCCAACAGGGTTATCTCTGTTTCCGCACAGGATATCCGTACTACCATAAAGATAGTATGTTCATATTGTTGTCAATGATGAGCGCCGCCCTGCCTCGGAGGTTGGCTGCTGCGCTGGCAGTGCTAAACAACGACGGTTGACAAGTCACGACCGACCGTCGACTTCCGCCTCATTCAGCGCTGACGGGCGACTTCATTCATCGTTGGCGCTCCATGATCCGTCGATTTTCGCAGACGTGGGAATCCGTCATCCATCCCATCCCATCCACCCCTTTCCCCAAACCAACCCTGGACCCTTGGACCCTGGATGGAGAGCCGAGGTGCGCGTACAGAGTACGAACTCCAACTTTTTCCCACAAGTCCTACGAATACAGAGTACAGGCTACACAGCAAAAGTCCTCGGCGGCCTGGGAGCCCACCGTCAATCCGCCCGCCAGCCTATGATCTTCTCCAGAGGACATGACAACGGGGAACCCAAAAAGGCCGATCATGCGGAATTCCATTGGGCAATGGGCGGGGGAAAAAACACGAGAAACGGTCGAAAAGGGGGGCGGCGGCCGTCTTGTGACGGGACGAATCCCCCAGCCAACTTCTTGGCCCGTCATGCGGATAGCGGGTTTGGGGGGGGGGAAAGGTGGGCGGCGCGCAAACATACGATCGATGGCTGAGCAAAGATAAAGTCCGAATGGCCGCGTCGAAGAAGAAGAAAAGAAGTTGAAATGCGGATGATAGGGGAACGCGTTCGATGCTGGACTCCTCGAGGTGGAACTCCGCGACTGAGAAACACCAAGAATCAACAATAGAGTCTCTTCATTTCATCCAAAGAAACAAAAGCTTGCGTCAAACGGGTACACGAACTCTTGAGTCGAGAGCCCCCTTGTTTCGTTTCTTCGACTTGCACCAGACCCGAACTTCTTCGTCCTTCCACGCGTGCGCCACGGCGCAGTTCGTCCAGTTTGTCAAGAAGACTGACTCCGAGGCGCGGCCATCTCCGTCCACACCTCTGCGGCTAGGCAGGCCACCGCTTCGCGAGATTGACGCCAAGAAATATCGTTTCAAATGTTTCTCTGAAGCTCCCGACCGGAGTGGCCGTCTGGTTGTTGTGTGATTGATGCGTGCGGCTGGCTACGCGCATGCGCGTTTGTATCGCCGCCATCCAATGCGATCGACGCGCCGCCTGGGCGTCGTTATCAGTGATGGGCAGACGGCGGCGGCGGCATGAGATACGAGCTGCAGCAGAGCCCATCCGGGAGGGAGGGCTTCGTCTTTACAGATGGATGGGAGAGGAGACGGCGACGTTTCAGTATAGATCAACAATCTCTCTGACACGTCGAGGCTATTCGGTACGAAAGACGAAAAAAAAGAAAGTCGTCCACCGAGAAGTCATCACAGCCGCTGTAACTGCGGTTAACACGCCAGGTACACGTCCTACATCCCATGTCGTGCATCCGGAAACTCAATTTAAGCCGGGAAGAAGGGCTTCAGAAACACGCTTCGCCTCATCGAGCGAAATCGCAGCCAGTCACCGTCAACTCAATTCGTTTGCTGAAGCTCACTCTAATACAACAGTACCTCTCCGTACTTCTTACACACAGATTGATGCTGTGGAACCTCGGACGCAACAAGTCCCCCGCGGGCCGGGAAATTGCACAGAGAGACACTGGCGTCCCACCGACCGGTGACGCTTCGTCGCCGAAGGCCAAGACGCGATGGCCGTTGGACACCGAACGCACTGTCGCCTTCGTCAGGAATGCGGAATTCAATTCAAGCTTTTATGGTCTTGAGAATACTTCAGCATCCCTTTGGTTTTGTATCTGCCGACATGAGACAAAGTGTCTTCCGTTGTCGAACGTGGCGTCCTTCGCGTGTCGTCGACGCGATCCCTCTTGAGACGTGGAATTCCGCCACGAATTTCAGTGAGTGTGACCAGAGGGGTTTCGGTAAGACGTTCCACACCGGCTCCGGCGCCGGCTCGAGTTTGATATATTATATCCATTCACTGGACTCGCGTCTCGTTCGGAGTGAATTGCGATTCGTGCTCGGTTCTGAATGAGCTTTATAGCGGCTTACCCATACGTATTTCACAGTATATTTGTCACAATACCAGCACTTTAGCCCGTGCTATCTCTCAATGATGCAAATGGGTATAAACAACAGTCGAACTGGTACTAGCAAGCTCAACCTTGCCATTACCCGTGCAGGTTTACCATCGCCTTGCAGATTTCAAGATGCAGAGGAACCTTCGCATTGCAGTCCAGTTCTAATGGTCACTGATCTGCACACAGCACAAGTGAGGTCCAGGTCCAATCCAGAGAGCACAAACCCAAATTATCTTCCAGTGATTATTCAAGGGATTTCGGACAAGACGATGAACGACAGAGCTCTGCGTTTGGCCCTGATCCATCAATCCGCATCTCATCACGGCGGACCGCTATACAAGTACTCCAGGCCGTCATCGAACCTCATTTCGACTTGCGACACGCACCAGATGGTATTGTTTCTTGTGCACTTTGTAAGAATCCATGCCTTTCCCCATCACATGTCGGCGTCCCAGACGAAGAAGACTATGCGGTTGCACTCTCCTTACCCCAGAAGTCGCCGCTCAACTCTCGTCGCCCCTCGCTGTAGTCCCGTTCTCATTCTGTTCCGAATACTTGCCGGATAGAAAGAGACTGTCCGGGCGTCCATTTCCAGTGAATTCTCAGCGACGATATCCGACGTGATGACAATTTCAACACCAACACCAGCAGAACCCGCTAGTCGTTCAGCCGCAATCTTGCTAGACTTGCAGTTGGCAGATCATCTAACCGGCATGCAACGCGAGCTCGAAATTTATAGAACGCCGGGTAGTCTGTCGCGAGAACGACAGCAGCACCCGGGCGGCCGAAGACAATGGATTTGTTGAAGAGCGCGGATAACGACTGGTGTTTCAAGGATAACTTGACATTCTGCAGAGGACTTAAAAGGAACATCGAGATGTCGTCGTTTCTCGACTACCACACATGATTCCGTCGTATCTTTTGACTTTGCAGCGAGTGATGAGAAGGCCAATGTAAACCCAGACTCGGCCTTGTTCGTTCGAAAGGTGCCCCCTCAAAACTGAACACCAAAGTTGGCACCTCTCGAGATATCTCTTACGTGGCTAACAAGGAATACTCACCGAAGAATACATCTCGGACCCCGAAGATGAAGGAGGACGAAATGACTGCTTTATGCGATTTTCGTACACTCATCTCATGAGAAAGATCACCGGGGCAACCGCATATTGCGGGATGATCACGAAGCTGAGGACCAGGATGCCACAAGCTTCATTCACGTCCTCGAACCCCAGCAGACGTAAGCCTGGCTTTTGAGTGCTCTCGGGACCTTCACGTTTCGACCACGCTTTTATTGCTCGAATGAGATCATTCAACTCGAATCAATAACCAACGGAGCTGGAACTGCATAACAGCAGATACACACTAACCATGGTGATGATAATTCGGAGCCCAAATATTGATAATATGTGTGATCGTATTCTTCGGTATGGCCGTTGAAGCACATCCGCACAAGGTATAAAAACAGCAATCCTCTCCCATAAGCACGCTTTCAACAAGGCACCCAGAATCGTTATGCTGGTTGAATCCCGTGAATACCGGGGATCTCAATGGGACGGATGCACCCGGCCATCTCTTCTGATGGCTCTCAGATGGTATCATTGACATCTCTAGACACCTATATGATATGCGTTTCTATCATCCATCACTATCCCGTTCGTATTCCTCGACATATCATTTGGAAACACCAGCATACTGGCCCGGTGAATGAGAATTACGGAGGAGAACCCGTTGGTATTACTCAAAGAACTGGACTGCTATGAGCAAGGCGCCGTTTCGATCAGAGACTCAAGTCGCACTGTGCGGAAAGGAATCCTGAAGAGAAAGAATCTGGAAAATATATAACGGCTTACCGCAGGCACAAAATGCAACAACCACCTTCCATACATTCTCAGCCTACCAGCCAATGTTTAGCTCAGTAACAGTGATCAACCGCAGCCGTAGTATCGCCGCCAGAGAATAAATCTCACGCATATCACTATGTGGTGCAGTATATA